AAAGCTAATGAGATCTCTGAGTCTGATTTGCACCATGTACCGTCTGTTTTCTTAATTGGGATCTTCCTAAGAGGCTGCCTTTTTAATTTCCTTGTAGCTTTCCAGAGATTGAAGCCGTAAGGTTTGCTGGGGTCCGCATTGAGAAGCATTTCCTCAAAGAACTCACGCTTGGTTATACGCAGGAGTTTTTTAAGCTCGTCTTCAGTACGTCGATATGCTCTTTTGTCGACTGGATCTTGGGACCTCATAAATCTACGGCGCAATGATCTTTTCAGCCTTACCAAGTCCATAATCTCAGGTTTTAAAAGTGCCTGAGATGGATTGGAAGGTTTGGAGACTTGCCCGTAGGTTGACGATTCCGCAGCGATATGAATGTTCCGAGCAAAAGTTTCAACTGCATCGTCGATATCTTCAGGGGAGTTGAGCACCATATTGAGATTAACAAGTCTGTTAATTACCGCCTGAAACCGCGGAACACTTGCATTACGAGGAAGAATTTGAGGCCGCCGACTAATTTTTAACGCAGCGACTCTTAATGAAATTATTAGTGGAATGTGATCAGAGCTCAGTTCGAAATATTCTGTAATAGAAAGACTCTCCGGGCGTATCCCTCTGTAGACTGCAAAGTCAATGGCTGTTGGCGAATTCTGGCTGTATGGATAATGTGTGGGTCCTCCAGTTGCAAGGACCTGGAAATTTGATCCTTGAACAAGTTCCGCGAGCGCTCTTCCGCGGGAGGTTGAATTTCGAGACCCCCAGAGTCGATGGTGGGCATTCCAATCACCAGCGATTATGAAGTTTGTTCCCAGATCGTCAAAGAGTTTTTCAAAGTCTTCGGCAGAGCATTGAAAGTTAGGCGGACAATAAATAGACGCAATAGATATTTCACCAAGGACGGTTTTGACTTTAACTGAGACACATTGAATATTTGGACTTTGTAAACTATAAGACTGGTAACATTGAAGGCAGGATTTTATAATTATGGCAGAGCCACCGCGTTTCCGATCGGCAGGATGGTTCGCTTGATGGGTATCGTAACCATGCATGTTGTAATATGACCTTGAACAAAAGTGTGTTTCACTAACTAGCATAATATCAATATCATGGCTTTGAACAAAGAGCTCTAGCTCAAGGGCTTTGCTAGTGAGACCGTCAGCGTTCCACACACCAATGTTAAGGCCGATTTGACTCATGGTTGCGTTACATGAACCGGGAGAGATCCAGCGAAGGCTTCAGCTCCTCCTAGAGGGTGTTGTGGTAGCAATTTAGAAACAAGACCCATCATCGACACCATCATTTGGAACATCTTGTCAAACTGAGCTACAAGGACCGACAGTCTTTCGTTCGATTGCAAGAACATTTGCTCTTGACGTTGCCATTGAATATCATTGACTGACTGCTGCGTGGTGCGCCGCTGTTGTTGGAGTAGAGATTGCTGTGGGTGTACTTGTTGCTGCTGTAGTTGGGGCACCGGCCGCTCCTGTCGAGGTGGTGCATTGTGATGAAGAGTCGGACTTTGTTTCCTGTTATTGCTGCCCAGCGGAGGAAACTGTTGTTGGCTCTGAGTGGGTGTGGGATAACTAGTTTGTCCACGGACAGCGTTAGCGTAGGAGCTCGGAAATACAGGATTTGTCCGAGGAATGGAGGTAGGTTGCTGTTGGAGAGTGGTGGTACGCCTTGATGTACTAATTTTCCGCCGACTTGCAATCTGCTGATAGACAATACAACCTTTATAGCTAGCTGTATGGTTGCCGCCACAGTTCACACACTTGACCGGATGAACATCCTTTAAGCACGCCTCCAGGCCGTGCTGTAAGCCACATCTGACGCAGTTGTGGAGTTTTTGGCAGTGATTCTTGGTGTGCCCAAATGCTTGACACCGGTGGCATTGCACGACATCATCCTTCTTATAAGGGAGCTCAACTTGAACCCGTTGCCGACAAAGAGTCTTGACCTCATGAATTTCTTTGTTGTTAGCCGCCGGTTCTAGCTCGACAAAAACCAAGTTGACAAACTGTGTTTTGTCAAATCGGCTCCTAGGTCTGTTGACAAACCGAACCGTGTGTCCAGCTGAGGTAAGGCTTTCCTTAATGTTGTCATCGGGTACAGAATGATGGATACCACGGATAACTACACGGTAGGATCTCTCTTCTTTTAGTTGCCACGAATGGAACGGCACTTTTTGGCTGTTAAAGATTTAGTAATAGCTCTGTACGCATCAGAGTCTACTGCTAGGATAGATACAGAGTTATTTGGATGGCATTTTAATGAGTACTTGCATGGGTCAACAATTTTGTCTATTGATCTTATGAGACCATTTAGGTTTTCACAATGATTAACCACAATAGGGGGTGGCTTGTGGGAGGCTGGTTGTTCCTGGCATCCAGAAGGATTTTTGCTGTTGTTGTTGTTAGTTGATGAAGAAGAAGAAGTTTTGTTGGCAGCCTGCCTTAATCCGGCAGACGTACTAGGAGTTTCAATAGGTCTGGTCGGTCGATGAGAACCTGCCACCTCAATGTCAGTGTCGATGTCCGATAATTCAGAAAAACGGTTAGCTGGAAGAATGGTTTTAGGGCTATTCGAGTTTCTTTGAACTTTGCTGACTTTATTCGGTGATCTTGATTCGAGGCGACGTTTGTTGTTAGTCGATCTTGGGGTCCACCAGTCTTCGTCGTCGCCGTTAATGGCTGATAATTCCGGTTCACGTTCGTCGAATGATGGTAATGGCTTGGCGCTTGAGGTAGAAGCATATATTCGGCTGAAGTTATTTAACGCTTCTTTCATTGTTTGCTGATGACGTGCTACAGTCTTTCTTATGTTTAGCTCATCCTCGGAGTCTGAAAGGCGAGACATTGTACGATTTTAGGCACTTCCGTGCACTGCTTTACCGACTGGATTGTTAGATGGTCGCTTATCCCAACAGCGACAAGCACTGATCGTAGCCTAGGGGGCAAGCGCAAGCCCCTCAGCCGGGACGTACTTGGCTCAGACCCGCCGAGGGGTGAATTAAATTTTTATTTTATTAATCTCTTTTTTTTAATTTGTATCGATCGATCGTGATTTTGTTTTCGTTTTCGTCTTCTTATTGTTCCACTTGTTCTGACTAACTGTTCAACTTGTTTTCGCGACGAGCACAACTAACGGGTCGTGGGAGCACTGACAGCGACTTTTTGAAACAATTTACCGGGGGATTTATTTTGCCACAGATGTGGACTTGTCCATTGACTTTTTACCAAGAATTCGTAGAAATTCACAAAAGAATTACGCTTTGCCACAAACGTGGACTTCTCCATAGACTCTACACAATGAAATCCGCAGCAATGCAAAAACGCGTCTGCACTACACGAAAGCATGATCGAGACTGACCTAAGTAGAGAACACAGTTTTTTTTTTTTTTTTTTTTTTTGAAAATAACTCAAAAAATATTTACCTACCTAAGTAGGTAAATATTTTTTGAGTTATTTTCAAAAACTGTGTTCTCTTTGGGTACGTGCTTGCAGTTTCCTTAATCGGGCGTTTAAATATTTCAAATATTCGTAATGCATTTCTAAATGTTCTGTTTAGTTCTAAACAAAAATCTTTGTAAATATGTTTTTATCAGGTTGTTGTTTGTTTTTTATTTTCTGCAAATACTTTAGATTCTTGTTGTTTTTTTACCCTTTTACGTATTATTTATTTTTCGAAAACTGTGATAATTCCTACATCCTAAAGCAGATTAAAAATATATTTTTTGCGTATCAAAAATGTTAGGAATTTTTAGATTTAGAACTTTGAGTGCATTTAGAAACATGAGCAATCTGTTTTGTATAGATTTTGGTTTAAGAACTTTCTTTAAAAATGTTTATTCCTTTAAAAGTGCAAAGCATGTAAAATCACAAATATTTCCATGAATTTTCCCTAAAATACTTTTAACAAAGTGTAGTGCCTAGCAGCTGTTTTTCCAGAAGAGAGATCAATCAGTTTTCATATCTGAATGGAAATCCCTTAGAAAGTGAATGAAATTCGCAAATTGAGTTAACAAAAAGGACTCTTCTGGGTATTCTATTGTCGGTGCGGCTGAGCCTAACCCTCGTTTTCCTAGTTGGTTGTCATTTTCGCAAGCCCGCTTGCAGTCCACACACACACACACGCACACACGTACTCACACACACATACACGACAATCCGTTGAACGTAGGTAGTTTTACACGCAGCTACAAACATACAATTTAACGTTGCTTTTGTGGCAAAAAGATGAAAAACGAAAACAAACTCTGGGTAAACATTATAATGAGCCCAAATGCAGTGACCGGGCCCCAAAACAAAAGAGCGTTGAAGAAAACATGAAAGAACGCCCACGCCATGTGCTGCTCTTGGACGTGGACCCAGCCGGCCCTACCCAATACCCAGTTCCCAGTTCGCAGTTCGCCGTTCGTAGCTCTAAGACCTGAGTTGTTTTTGGTACTCCGGCGGACTGTGGCCAATTTCCAATTGCTGCCATTTCGTTACCCTTTTGCCCAATTTGCCAAGCATCAATGGGGCAACGGGGCGTGGCAGCCACATCCTACGGGATGTGACGGACAGACCCATTTCCCTGTCCCTGTCCCTGTCCGCTTACCAGCTTTAAGGTTGTACTTTTTTTTCAATTACCAAATCACCAAAAGCAAGCAAAGATCCGAAATCCGTCGAGAATGAAACCCCCAGAGTACGAGAGAAAGAGAGAGAGAGGGCCAGGCCAACCAGAGTCGAAACGGAAATTGGTAAGAGGAGAAATAAACGAGAAAAAAAAAGAACAACAACAACAAAAACAACAACAAGGGACAACTGGCGCAAGTGCAAATGACTCCAAATAAAAAGCAAGGGAAAAAAAGCCCAAAGTCTACAATATCCCCCGTTTCCAGAGACCCAGAGACCTGTGGAGACTTTTATCATGGAACCGAGCAAAAGACGAAGGCTAAACGAAGAAGCCGAACCGAAGTGAAGTGAAGACTCGGTCTCGAAGTCGGAGCTTCGAAAGCCCCTCAGTCGCAATCTTCAAGTCGCCGTTCGCCGACGATCAGTTTGAGTTTGTCCGTGGAAGCCGCCAGTACGGTGTTCGGTGTTCGGTTTAGCTTTTTTAGTTCCTAGTGATATATATTGCTATATGGGTACTGCTATTTGCTGCTACTGTTAGTGATATTTTGCTTTGGTATTACTACAATTTCTGGTGTGAAACGTGCGTCCAGCTCGGTTCGTGTGTGCCCCGTCGTTCGTTGTCGGTCTCTGAAAGCGAAAACTGGCGCTCAAGTTCAGTCAGCGATTTGTCGATTTCTATGCAAATCATTACTCGGAAAAGAAACATATATAACCCAGAGACGACAGAGTCACAGAGTCAGTCAGAGCCGCCGCCATAAAGACAGTCAGAAAAAAGAGCGTGCTATTTTTATTTTGCTAAATGTCGACTGGAGGCTCACGTCGCCGGAGCAGAGCCAAAGTCTCCGTTTCAACTGGCAAGAGACTGTAACCCGAGTCGCCCGCCGTTCGCGAAAAAAAAGCGCTGGAACAAAAAAAAAAAAAACAAAAAAAAACAAAAACTAAAACAGACAAACAGAAACAGATTGTATCTGTATCTATAGTCGCGACTTGCGGCTCGTTTTGTGTGCGCACATTCGTGTATCTGTATCTGCGGCCGAGCGCAAAAAAAAAAAAGAAAGAAAATCAAAAAGAAAAAAGTAATCATAAACTGGAAGGGAAAGAAAAACAAATAAATAAATATAAAGAGTGCCGCTCCCCAGCCTCCGAGGAGTACTTAATACTGATACTGGGCATAGATAGATAGTGCCCTGTCGAATCAGCTGAGTCGTCGGCTTTTGGCGGTAGCTATGTGACTGGCTATCGATCCATCCAGAGAGAGATTTGGTTTACGAGAAGGAAGTAGTAGCCCAGCTAAGTGAGAATCCATCAAAGTACATTTGCTTGGGAGCCATGGACTATCTTTGCATATTGAATGCCTTCGAGCAGAATTACTATAACCGCATCAAGGAAATCGAACGAATGGCCGCCGCTGCCGCTGCAGCAGCAGCTGCTGCATCTCCTGCCTCGTCCGCTTCATCGACGGCCTCCACATCATCTGCATCCTGCTCGAGTGGACCCTCAACATCCTCCTCCGCCTCATCCACAGCAAGTTCGCCCAGTTCGTCGGCCCAGGTAGCCGCTGCTCATGCGGCCACTCAAAGACTGCCCGCTTATCAAGCCCTCGGACCAGGATCCCAGAGCCAGGGGGCCATGTTATATCATCCTCCGTCGCAACACCTTCATCATAATCACCACCTCCAACGCCAGCAGCTGGAGCAGCTGCAATCGTTGCAAGCGGAATCTGGCAATCAGCAGCAGCCGCAGCAGCCGCATCCTCAGACATCCGCGGGTCCCATTGCCTCCTCCATGGCCAATAGCCTGATATGGCAGCCATGGCTAGATCTCCAGCAGGCGGCTGCCATGCATCATCAGCTCTACATGCAGAAGCAGCAGCAGTTGCACAAAGGTTCGTTTTAGTCTCGGGGCAGCTTTAACCCATGACACCTAATGACCCCTGACTAAAGGGTGAACATGTCACATAGTTGGGGGATCTTACTAGAAAAATCTGGAAACTATATATGTATCTTATAAGTTTTAAGTAGGGCTGAACTTCTTGGTTCCACGTGTCAAAATTTTGCTTTACCTAACGCCCCCATCACAGCTTTTAATTAGATCCGTTTCACGCCGTCTGTTTATTATGAAAAGCCTTAAGCCTGAAAGATCAAAGTTCTATAACATTATGACGATTTGTTGTGATGTATTTGTTGTGTTTGGATAGTCACACTTTCGTAAAAAAGTAATCTTCTAACTGCAGAGTAAGTAGAAACCAAAGATAGAACACAAGATCTATGGGAGATGGGCAATACTAGACAATATCAGAAAGCAGCTTTAAAATTAGAATTATTAATTATAGATATTAAGACCTCATCGGGCGTAGCATAACTTTCAATCAAAAACTAAAAGGCTTAAAACTTAAATGTGTTTTTAAAATGAATTTCAAGTCCTTGCAATTATCTAAAAAAAGATGACTAGCGAAAGAAAGGAAAGATTCATTACACTTGTGCTCATCATTTCTCATAAAACCACAAGTCTGATATAATGGCCCCTGAAGATGTTTTATTATGCCTTTCGATGACTGGTTTAGAATCTTTAAAATTAGTATCAAAAGCCAAGATATAAAGAGCCGCAAAAAGTTATTTTTATTTAGCTCGAAAGTTCCAATGACTGTTGGAAGATATAGCCGTCGTTTTAGTAGTCCGGTTTTCAAGCATGAATCTGTTTACAAAAAGATTGCCAAAGTTTTATGGTTATAGCTTCTAAACTGGGTAAATAAATGGCTGTTTAAATAGACAAACATGACTATTTCTGCTCGCCTGGTCTTGCTGATCGAGAATTTTCGGTTTTGCTGATTTGATTTAGAATTTGATCTTAGAAAAGCTCTCACTTTCTGAAGATGTTTGGCCATTGAAACTAAATCAAAATCTGAATGATTGAGTGAAGTTTTAGTTCACAAATTTAATGCCTATACTTTGAAGATAGACAAAGTTCAGTTAAGACTGACTTGTAGGACTAGTAAAGACCACGTTCATCCACCTGCTGGTCACGTGAAGACCACACTCCCATTCGCCTGATCAGTGCTGAAGTTCAATGGATTCCGCGAACGTGCCCTTTCCTTAAGCCACTTTTACACTACAGATAAGAGCTCACTCCCCCTATGAATGGGATCGATTTGCCACGGTTTATCACTTAGCTGGTAGCGTGTGTATCCAGGACGTGGACAAACGTGATGACGATGGTATTGGGACTCAGAGATTGCCACAACCATTAGCTATAGCTATAGTATATAGAATCGGTCACGCTGGATGCAAGAGCGTATCGATGGCGTCTCCATTCGGCTTGTGCCAACTGGAAAATTGGTAATGAAATTGGCAACACTTTTACTGCGCTCCCCCGTCGCATTCGATTGGTTTCAGATTGGCAAACAAGTAAACACAGACATACAGACACACACACACACACACTCCTTACACACCGCACACCAGTTCCTCCGCGTTAATTGGCGACATTGCACAAATCACACAAATGCTTTCAATTACATGGCGACGCCAGGCAAACACACAAAAAACACACACAAAGTGCCAAAGAAACGTTCAGGGAAAGAGCAAAAAATGAGCGCCTGTTTAAACATTAAACCTCCATAAAAAAAAAAAAAGAAAAATTGGATGATCAAGAGGTGGGGCCGAGGGGCTAGAGAGCTGCTGTGCTTGGCTCGACTCGGTTTTATTTTGCTTTTGTTAATTTGTTGACATATTAAAACCAGATTTGCAATCAACTCGGCCAGCGGGTAATGCGGGTATAGCGGAAAGTCAAGCGGGGCGGGAGTTCGGGTATCCGGGGGATCCGTGGTTACGGGCATGACTCACGAGCCGGCGGCGCAAGAAATAAATATAAATAATGAAAAACGCCTGCGACGACGACGACGACGACGGCAGCGGCAATGATGGAAACAACAACAACAACAACAACAACAACAACGAGAGCAGCAACAACTTGTTTGCATAAGCCACAAATGCTGTTCCCATTGCTATTGCTTTTGCTATTTGTAGTACAATCCGTACAATCCTACAATCCCAAAGCCATATAAGCATGCAAGTCTGCCAGAGTTTTGTCACTCGCGTCTCCTTTCTCTCTCTTTCCGCCGTCTCTTTTACTCAAGTTCTTTACGAGTATGTTGTTGTCTTTTCCGAACCCGAACCAGATTTTTGGGATCTCACTGGGCCGGCTTTCAAATCGCTACTCAGCTGATACATATATCACCTCAGAAGATGTTAAGATTGTGCCTTCCCCTTACCACTGGCAACGTTACCGGAAATTGTGAAATGTCTTGCCCAAAATAATGGTTCGATTTTTTTGTTTATTAAAATAATAACGTTTTTTGTTTATTAAAATAATAACGTGCAGATGGGATTAGATTAGATATAGGTGAATATTATAAACCGTTTGAGTACTTTCTGTCATTTGTTGGAATATAATAGGGTAGGGGCAGGTAGCTGTTTGTGAAACTTAGTTAAGTTCTTAAAAGATTGGAGAAGTTTGAGAGTTCAAGTTATTCGAGTTAGGCAGTCTTTATATCCTACTGTAGTACCTAAAGTTGATTTTCATTCTCATCTCATTCTTATGCAAGTTTATAAAGAAAATTGAAGGCTCTCTCTTTGAAAACTCAGCAGTTCGGAGCTAGCTTACAAAAGTAAGGGTCTTTAAGAGTCCCAACTAAGTTCCTAAGATGAGTACACATATCGACTTAACCTTTACCATCTTAATCTATACCATTAGTTCTTAAACTGAAACTAAATCAGTTTAAGAACTGATGGATTTAGTTTCAGTTTAAGAACTGATGGAGTAGCCCTATATAAAAATGTCTTTTATTACTTGTTTAACTAATTTTATTGCAATTAAGTTGCAGCTGCAGGATATTACGGTAGCCCAACTTTCACAACTTCCTATACCTTTCGAGTCACACGAATGTCCCTAGCCTATGCCATTAATATAAACCTTTTTCTTGCTCCCTTTCGGGACTCCTTCGATTTGGAATCGGCTTGCCATTAAGTTGGGGCTCCCCTTTATCGCCAATTAGCCGATACTGAAATGATTAAAACGCTCGCAGCAGCAGCAGCAGCAGAAAAAAAGCCAGCAGAACAAATAAACAATGCAGGGCGGAGAGGATGCTGGAAAAAAAGCGGTGGCGGCGAAGGTGAGATAGGGAGCATCCGACCACAATCCGCAAAGAGGGGGAGCCTCAAAAAGAAAGCTCCATGCTTCATAGTCGTCGTTGTCGTTGTTGTTCTTGTTATTGTTTTTTTCGTTTCGTTGTCGTTGTCGAACCGCCGATCCCCCAACAGACGGCGACGTCCGACGACCGGAAATGTGCAATAAAATTTGAATGTTTCTTTATTATTATCATCATCCCCATCATCATCCGCTTGAGCCCAAGCCCAAGTTCGCTCCCAGCCTCCGTGTTTGTTGGTTTTTAAAGCCTCTTGGCCTGCAACGGCTCCACCTCTTGCACCGCTCGCTTCTCCTCATCCGATGCTCGACTCTGGGCAGACCAGTTTCTTTAGTGAATTGGTACTCCTCGGGGGCAGAAGAAGTGGTAATGTATGGCAGTCCCGCAGTGACGTTGCCAAAAACAGGACAACGCTCCCGCCTCCTCGTGATGGTGGTACAGCTCCTCCTCCATCTCCTCCTCCTCCGCCAATGCTAGCCAGCCGACTGCATCGCCATCCCAGCCATTCATTCATTCATTCATGCCTGGGTTCCAGGGACTGCTCCATCTCTTCCTCCTCCTCCTCTTCCGATCAGGCTCTCTGCGCTGCTCGAAATGTGCAGAAGTCGCCCGACTGGTTTGTGCCTGCCCCTTCGATATCGGCCGAGAAACTGGGTTCTGGGACCTGGCTTCCCGCTGCTGGCAGTCTTTTTGCTTTATTTTTAAACTCGGCTTCCTGGCAAGCTCCAGCTACACTGAGCACCTCCAGCGGATGGATCTTTCATCCCGATGGGGATGCCCACGCTCGGTTTTGGCCGCTTCCCACGCCAGCAGCTCGGTCAATCGCCCATTGGCAAGCCAGGCACGTTCCTGCATTTCGCTCAGTGTAGGCCAGGCCCAGACTTTTTTAAACACACACATACATATTCTCGGAAAAGAGCGTAGAGCAAACGAGTTTTCGTAACCAATTTTGTTAGTGCCTTGGAGTTTCGATTGTGTGCTTTCTGTTGTTATTATTTATTTGCCAGAGTGTGTGTGCCGTTTTTTAGTTTTATTTATTTATTTATTTTTTTTTTATTTTTTGCTGGTGACGGCTACGTCTTCTTGTGCATAATTTCTGTGCTGCCAGCAACTCCGCCTCCTCCTTCTTCTGACCGCCACTCTTGGCCGCTCCTCGACTTCAGAGCTTTTGGCAGAAGTTCATTCAAAAAAGCGAAAGACTTAGGCAACAAACTTGAAGGGGGAAACGAGTGGGGCGAGTGGCTAAGGGGCAGGGATGTGGAGATACTATATAGACAGGCAGACAGGCGATCGGGTGAAGGAGAACCTTTGTAGAGTCAGCCTCGCCTCAACTCCATGTGATTCATTACGCCCACTCATCGGCCGCATAATCAAAACCAAAGACGACAGACACGTAAACCGCAGACAAAACCCAAATCGACCACAAAGCCAAATCAAATTTATGGCTTTTAATTGAAATGCGATTTTGGTATAATATTATTATATTGACTATTACTATTCAGGGGGCTAGCCAAAAAAAAGATGGCCAAAACGGATAACTCGTTTTCTGACTTTGTTTCTTTATTTTTATGTTCCCTTGCAGAGATGCGTGTGACGTCCAAGGAGCTGCCCACCACCAAATGGCGACGCGAGAGACGTCAGCGGACCGCTGAGTATCAGGTCCATGAGGCCGGGAGCAGCGATAGGGAACGGGAACGAGAGGATCGGGACATGGACAGTCCCATTGACATGTCGGTGACAACGGGAGCTTTGAAGCAGAGATCCTCACCACCGCCGCCCTATCGTGAACCCTTGCCTGGGACCAACTACGCGGCCAACAGCCGACCCAGCGTCATTACCCAGGCTCCACCCAAGCGGGAAGTTCCAGAGCAGGCCCACTCCTCAGGTAAGAAGCTCATAATACAAACTTATACCAAATATTCAACTTACCTGTTTTACTTTTGCCTCTTAGACATGGCGATGTGCGACATTGACGAGCACTTCCGGCGCTCGCTGGGCGAGAACTATGCGGCCCTGATTGCTAAGAAGTCGCCGACGCCTACGCCCACGCCCTCGCCTTGTGGTACACCCAAGCAGCAGGTATCGCCTCTGGCCTACGGACCGCCTTCATCAACCAGCACAGTAGCCTCGCAACTTTACCAGCAGCATCGCTCGCCGTTGGCCAAGCCGGGCTTGGTCATTATGGAGCCTGAATCGCCGCAGCCGGAACTGCCTCCGCCGCAGGAGGAACCACTGCCGCTTTCGCTTGCACTTCATCGCACGCAAACGCCACCATCACCGCCACCCTCGGCCACGGGATTGGCACCAGCGCTACCCACGGCCGTTAGCCAGGTGATGGAGGCAGCGGTGGCCGCCAAGCGAATCCTGGACGCTCCCCATCACACGCCGCCCAGATACAACACTCCACCGCCACCGCCGCCAGCTTATGGAACAGCCGGAACCACCGTGGTGACGACGCCGACTTTGACACCGACTCCAACTCCGAATCCGACGCCTTCGCAGATTCCCACGCCTACACCCAGCATGCCGGCCATCATTCGGGTGAAGGCTGAACCAGGATTGGCGGCTGCAGCCGCCTCCTCGACACAGACGCCGCCCGCTTCGCCCACCTCGTCCACGAATATCTCGATATTCACCAAGACTGAAGCCTCGGTGGACGATCACTTTGCCAAGGCGCTGGGCGACACCTGGAAAAAGTTGCAAGGCGGGCACAAAGAGTAAAAAAGAGAAAGAAACCAACCCACCCACCCGTACATATCCCGATCCCAATCCCCCAAAATCAAAAATCCAAAACCAATCCCCCCCTTCGATCCTCAACGATCCAACTCAAGAGCTGTTTTTATTATAAATATTTCAAACTACACAATTAACGTTTAAAGATCTCATGCTGATGTGAACGAAAATTCTTCAACTGCGAGTGTATTACAAGTTTCTGATATAATGATTTTATTGAATATTGATAACGGTTAGCGCGGATATATATGATATATGATATATGATATATATGGATAAATGTGTATGGCAAAGTGTATACGTACAAGTGACAAAATTTTGTATTCTTAATGCTTAGTTGGTAGAGACTAATCCTTAATAATATACCTATTAAATATAAGTGAACAATCCTATAAAAGCGTCTTTTTAATTTCTGACTAAAGGGAATTTGGAATATTAAGACTTAAGTAATATTTGAATTTTTAAAATGCGGTTATTCGGTTAACAGTTCGATAACAGCGCGCTTTACAGCACACGGTGTAATCGAACCAGTGTGACCACACCATAAAAACAGCACATTGAACTAGTATCGGAACGGCGATTGTGCCATTCACCGCGAACGATAACGATTGTTGGCATTCGCACGGCACGAATCGTACAGTACATTTACATTGCAAAAAAAGCATAAAACAAAGTTTTAAAACAATTAAAAGCGAGCAATCCTCGGCGTATTATTAAAGAACTAGCCCACTGTTCGCCCCATAACCGCAGCAGAGCGCGCGACCTTGCGATTTCACGGAGTAGCAGCGTCAGAAAGAGGGTTCATCGGCAGAGGGGCGCAGAGAGAAAATGTCACGCAAAGCAGCAGCAGCAGTGGAAGTGGAAAAAGAGTGAAGAAACCGCAGAAATCGTAGTCGGGATCTGATCTCGGTCCTTTGGAGTAGCGAATCCAATCGGGGCTCGGTCAGCCCATCCTCTTCCCGATCCTAATGCCGCCAGCCCAGTGGTAAGTGTGGTGTCGCGAAACTAACCGATGGGCAGCAGCAGCAGCCAGCGAAAGTAGGAGACAACAACGGAGCCCTGCGTCTACGGTCCTAAGAAAATTCACAGGTAACGGACACCTGCGAGCGCAATGCGAATGCTGCCGATCCTGGCCAGGATTGCTCATATACTGATGCTTGGATGTCGTCGGTAATTGAGTGCGCCATCCTCCGTTGGGAACCCCCTAGCAATCCGCTGGCACCACCATGCAAAGCCTGGACTCCTCATGCCAAGAAGCCGATGTAAGATCTTATTTGTTGACTAAAACTGATTAATCCTCATTTACAATTTTTTTTTTGCCAGTTTATTATAAATGACACGCTCAAGAAGTTAAAGGGATCCAGTAACGCGGATCATGTCCCGGGACTAACGGTCCACGCCCACGGATCGGGCGTCCATCAGACGCAGTTCGTCCAGTACGGCACGTCTGGTAACTCGCCTCAACTGCAGCCCCAGCAGTCGTACCACCAGCTGCATCCTACCCTCCAGCAGCAGCAGTTCGCCTCGTCGAGCAGCAAGTCGTACCTGGAGACTAGCCTGCTGCAGGCCATACCACAGATTCCTGCCCAGCCGCCCATTTGCATATTCGATGACGACGAGTCTCCCACCGAGGGCACAGGCGGCTCATTGGGCGGCCTGCTCACGGAGCCCACCTCGGCCACGCCCAGTGGCCTGCCCACTGCAATCGCTCCGTCGCCCTCATCGTGCTCATCTTCCACTACAACGCTGTCGAACTTTAACTCCATTACGTCGCCCTCGCCAGTGGTACCCGATCTGCTGTTGTCAACGCCGCCCGGCGTCAACTCTAGCCTGAGCAATAGCTCAACAGGAGCGGCCAGTGTATCCAGCAAGAAGTCAGAAAAGCGGCCACCATCCGCGAACTCAACAGCCAGTAGCGGCGGCCACCACCTGCACCATCATCACCTCCACCAGACGCACAATCATCATGTCTTGGCATCACCCTCGTCGTCGCCAAGCAAGCGCCAGAAGTCCAATAGCAGTAGCAAGGAGAGCAGCTCCTCTAGTCGCAGTTCAGCTTTACCCGCCGCCTCAGTCTCCACGGCAACCTCGTCGTCGCAATCAGCGCGCGCTGGCGCCGGCGCTGCCTCCTCCAACAGCAACAACAAGCCACCTTCCTCCGCCTGCCAGTCAACCAACAGCAAGTTCTTCAATCTTCACGAGAAAATAAGGGACCTGTATTTACATCTGCTGAGCAACGACCTCAACTACTTTGCCGAGACAGGGGTAAGTCTTATGGTTAAACAAATGAATATATCTGTTTTACATTTATTCAAAATTTCTAGCTAAAGCAACGCACCCGCTCCTTTACCCTGGAGCGGCTTGTGGAGCGGGAGAAGCTCAACACGATTGTGGTTAACCTGTATCCCGGCAACAAGGGATACTCACTGGCCTTGCATTATGACGAGCATATGCTGCTTAACCCGCAAACGAACGAATGGTCAACCATAGACAAGGACGAGGCCACGAACGAAGTTGTGGGATTGGGAACGGGTGCAGGACCAGGAAGTCATCGAACTCGGCCAAAGCCAGCTGCATTGGACGAAAGTCACTCCAAAGTGGAAATGGGACAGGCTAAGCACGACTTCGGACTAGTAGAGGTGCTTCGGTGGCCATACGAGAATGATCTGCTGCTGCAGTGCATCGATCGTGAGATGCTGCCGGAGTTTCTAATGGATCTGCTAGGAGCGGAGACGGTCAGTTTGTCAGATGGTGAAGGGACACGAGTTTATGCCAAGCCGAGCGTCTTCTACGCGGGATGCGTTATAGCCCAAATCCGCGACTTCCGCCAGACATTTGCCACCTCAACGAATATCTGTGATATGAAGCACATCCTGCTCAGGCCGACGAATGCCACCCTCTTTGCGGAAGTGCAACAAATGGGCAGCCAGTTGCCGGCCGAAGACAAGCTCGCCCTGGAGAGCCAGCTGGTGTTGGCCACGGCGGAGCCGCTGTGCCTGGAGCCGGATCCTAGCATAGGGAGGCAGGCCATCAACGCCCAGCATCAGCGTCAGCTCTTTAACTCCCACGAGATGCGCCGTCAAATGAAAAAGTTCACCCAAACGGCGATCAATCGGAAGCGCAAGTTGGACCAGTTTACCCATCATCACGGCCTGGAATTGTGCGATTACTTGGCTCGTCTGCGACAGCGACCGCGAACAGGGAGTAGCAGTGGTACCGGCAACGCAACCCCAGCTACGGCACCAACCAACAATCCGCTGGTAGGGGCCATGCTCTCGTCGTTCACGTCAAAGGTACCCCGACGACCACACGAGGTCATCCGCCCAATTCGACCGCCCACACTGGAGTATCCCGCCAATCTGAAGGTGCCCGAGCACGTGATCAGCGTGGAAAAGTACGCCAAGGCCTACGAGCCCTTGAACGAATTCAGCGAGGCCTGCAAGGACGGCTGCCAGCCGAATTGCCGTCACAACTTCCAACCGCAACTAATCGAGGAATATGTTCTTGAGACAGAGCGTGAAGCCAGCGAAGGTCGACGGGCTTTGTACCACATTAAACTGTCCATCTTCCAGCGCCCCTCTGATGCTGAGTATCTCGGCGAACTGTACGTGGACCGGGATTACCGGGAGGGCGAGCGCAACGGGGAGTCGTGCCGATTTGCGTTGGGGACTCGTGTGCATGCAAATCGATACATTCAGCAATTCCGCGAGATCTTCACCGAGGAGGGGCGAAAGGCTGTCAAAATCACGCATTTGATACCAGGGCATGCGCCCATCGTGACTCACACTGGACTGACGAACGAACAGCGAATCCTCTTGCAGCAGCAGCAGCAACAACAACAGCAGCAGCAGCGGCAAGCTCAAATGCAACAGCAACAACAGCATCAGCAAGTTGTAGTTGTAGGTAATCCACCACAGCAGCAGCAACAACAGCCCCAGCAGCAGCAACAACAACAGCAGCAACAGCAACAACAACCACAACAGCAACAACCCCAGCAAGCGCAACAGCAACTATCAGCCACAGTCCACCATGTGGCGTTACCTCGACAACAAATAACACAAAAGACTCTTAATTTGGCTGGAAGTAATGTCATTAATGTACAGCAAAACTTTCGGCAACAGCCAGCGCAGCAGCAACAACAAACATACACAATTGAGGCACCGCAACAACAAGCTGCAACACAAATTGTTCCGCAACAACAACAACAACAACAGCAGCAACAGCAACACATTCATCTTCAACAATTGGGCACCGGCAGCAGCAATTCCTCCACAACAACTCACCAAGTTAGTCTGAGCAATGGCTCCCTTGTCCTTGTACAGCAGCAGCAACCCCAGCAGCAATCGCAACAGCTGGCTCAGGCACTGCAACACTCAGGTATAACCATCCAGCCTGCCACCATTCAGCAGCAGCAGGTAAAGGGTACCTCTGTGGTGGGGGCCAATTCAGCATTGCGTGCCCAGCTCAACTCAAATGTTCCAATTTTGGTAAGTGAAACATTAATCAATTTATCATTACACCTTTATAATTGTATCGTACTCTTCTGTCACGGCAGCAAACGCAGCTGAAGGTTCAACAGCAACAGACCATGCAGAAGCAACATCAACAGCAACAGCAACAACAGACAACTGCCACTAGTAACAACAACAACAATAATAACAATATGAACAACAATACGGCCATACATCCAAATCCTGCAATAAATGCCATAGTCAACAGCATTATGAACTCCGCCAACCAGTACCAACAGCAGCAGCAGCAACAACAGCAACAGCAGCATCAACAACATCAACAACAATGTAAGCTTAAGTCATTTTCTGGCTTGGAAGCTTTCCAAATAACTTTAAAATGGTCTTTACAGCGGGAAACACGGCCAGCAACAACAATCCTGCAGCGCCCGGCGGAAACAATAGCAACAACAACGGGAGCAGCACCAGTGCAACCACACTTAAGAACTCCAGCAACGCATCAATTTTGAACCTGCTCAACAGTGCTCCAGCTGCCATGACCAGCACCCCAGTGGCTAGTGGAACTTTTACCACCTCGACCGGCCAGCAGCAACCGCAGACGCTGACACTTGTGCAGCACCAGCAACAGTCGACCCCTGCCACAGCTGATGCCGCCACTGCAACCTATGTACAAACCACACGGGGAACACCCACGCTGGTGAGTACTCAGCGGAAACAGCAATCTAGCGAAGTGCTCCAAAACTTGTTGAATGCCAATCGAAAGATTGGAGGTGGAGGAACCACCACGACAACGTTTCGCACAAACTCCGCTGGCAATTTGATAGCGGTCAACCTCAACCAAGCCGGGCAGTCACACCACCAACAAGCGGGCGACGGTAATCAGACAGTAAGAGTGTCCATGTCGGCGCTAGCCTCACAGTTGGCCTCACCGCCAGCGGTTATGACAAACCCCACTACCAGCTACACAGTGATCTCATCAGGCAATAGCGCCGCGGCTGCTGCAGCTTGGATTCAGAGTCCAACGGGTCCGGTCCAGCAACGTATCTTGAGCTCGCTGAGAAGGGACAGTACCACTGCGCCACCCAACGCTATTGTGGTAGGAATGGCAGCTCCATCGCCGGGAAGCGATTCCAACGCCTCCAATGCCAGTGGCTTTGCGGTGCCAAACAATCTAGCATCCACCTCCAGTAGTGGCGGTGGTGGTGGAGCTCTGTCCGCTTTGCTGACCAATGCGGCTACTCCCTCGCCATCGGGTTCGGATCACTCGCAATCGTCCCAGACGCATCAAAATCAAGCATTGCTGGAACGCCTCAGCAATGTCACTTCCAACGTGTCTGCCGTTTCCATGCCACATATGTCGCCGCAGCAACCACAGCCGACACAGCAGTTCATCACGAAAACCATTGTTCACTCTCCCGCCACCTCTTCAATACACTCGCCCATGTCTAGTCCGCATCCGCAGCCTTCTGCTTCGCCACAGCAACAACAACAGCAGCAGCAACAGACAACTGCCACCCTGAATCTGCAGGGCATTAATCTGTCACAGCTGCAGGGTGCAATGGCTAATTTTGCCGGTCTGCAAAATGTCCAGGTGCAGATTCCCGGCTTCACGCAGCCCATTTCCCTGCAGTTCTCAGGAAATAGTCTGCAACAGCAGCAGTCAGGGAGTACGGCAACGGGCGCCGGCACAGCGCAGGGTCAACAGAGGAGTGTTCTTGTCTCGGTGCCGGTCTCCAGCCAGCAACAGCAACTGCCACATACCATAACGTTGCAAACGCAATCGGCGGCGCACCATCAGCAGCAGCATCAGCAAAACCAGCAGCAGCATGCTCCTCCAACAGGCACTATTGTGAGCTTGCCCTCGACAGGACCTGGCACCCAGACAGTGGTCATAACAAACAACGCCAACGCAGGAGTCTCATCGGGAAGCAACAACAGCGGTAATGCAGGTGGCGGAGGAGGAACCGGCGCCACCACAGCCATGCTGACTCTTCCCATTGGTGAGTAAAAGAAAAATGCGAATTTAGTGCAGAGGCTGCTTGCTAGAATGCTGCACATCCGTTTCGGCCGGGCCGAAGAGATATTTGTGACTCCGGATTTGGCTTATTGATGCAATCTTTATTTATAAACGGACCATATTATTTATACGTAACTCTTTTCTTTTGATTGAACATGCTTAATTTTGTTCTCTTCTGTTTCTGTTTCGTTTCTCGTTTACAACAACAACATCATACAACACAAACCCGTTAACAACTCGTTTCGATCCCTCATGCAACTAAACTAATCCAATCCGATTTATGTGTCTTGTGTGTCCTAACCCGAAATGCCATCAGTTTGAGATTAGAGAGTCCATTATGTATAACCATAACCATACAGATCGTACTGGTTAAACGTCCAAGTTGGCGGCTCCCCGACCTCTGACCTTCGACATTTCTCATTGCAACCTAAAACAACAACCAAAAAAATCTCCCCGCACACCCACGTTCTGCTCTCTCTCTGCTTACAGCTCAAATAGTCGGTGCCGGTGTACAGAAACTAAATCCTCAAACAATACGTACCTCAAGTGTTGGTGGTGGTATAGGTATCGCCCAGCAGACGGTCCAGCAGCAGCAGACGATTCAGGCGCAGTCGGGAGGAAACAGTACGGCGGCCATTCAGCTGTTGGGTACCATTCAGCCGCGGGCCCGAAACGTCCAGGTGGTGGGCACTAAGCAATTGGCTAACAGACAGCTCATCACCACCCAGCGGCAGATTGGTGGATCTACGCTCAAGATTGCAACAACCCCTGTGAATTGTAAGTTTAAATTCCGTTGACTTTTGGGCGATTACAAGCGAAATTCTTTTTCCCATTTTTAGCTGGCAGTGTAGTAACCAACAGCGCCAACCTTAGTACCACTCCAATTGTGATGTCCGCGCAGAAGCTACAACTGAAAACGGTAAAGGCGCCCGTGCAACAGCATCAGCAACAGTCGCAGCAACAACAGCAACTGCAACAACAACACAGAATACTCAACCAGCAGAGCACCGCAACGGTCTCGTCGCAGACACTGCCCAGTCCCAACCAAGTGCAGGTGGGGCCGCAGCAGCAACAGCAGCTGCAGCATATTCAAATCGCTGGAAGGGCAACTACCGCAACGGGAGCCATCAGTCAAAGGACATTGACGGCTCTGGCAGCGGCCAAACAGCAGCAGCAGCAACAACAACAGGCGGCGGTCAATCGAAGGCGCTCAACCACCGATGCGACCAAGTAAAGGATGTGGATTGCCGGGGACTGAGACGACTGAGAGATGATGATGAAGCATTAGAGCGAACAAGTAAAAAGGCTACGCGTTGTGTATTGCTTGATATTATAGTTTATGGTTACCTCCTAACTATCACTACTACCGTACATTGTATACCCATATAACTATATATGTTTTGATGTGTAATCGTAAGTGTAAATTGCATGGGCAACAGCATGGCAGCTCATAGTTGTGCAACCTAGTTAGGAGCTGGAGCTGAACCACAGTATTGGTCCCTGGCCCTGCTCTACCGACTGCGCTTGTGTTAATTGTGTCTCCCTTGGCAGAACGAATTAGGTGTAGAGGTCTTAATAATATTTATCTAGTTGTATATACGCATATATATTATATATATATATATATATATGGAAATTGTTTCAATATGTCCCGCGCCCAATCGCCATTTAAACTAAACACAAGAACACCTATCAATTTGGCTCCAAACTCCAATTCGTTAAGTCCTAAGACTAGTTCTTTAAGTGTGCTAATTTTAAGCTGTAAATCATGGGAGTCGCCGAAAACAAAAGGAAAGCAATAATATGAGGAGAGAAAAATCAACAAAACAAGTAAATTAATTGTAAAGAAATTCTAATTATTATGATTACGTTTAGCTACGAGAGCATATGAACCGGGTTAGGGGTTCATTTTAGCAATTAAAAATATTCATATATTATTACTATTAAAATTATTATTGCTAATTATTTAATCGATTGCATAGCTTAAGTTCACAAAAGAAGAGAGAAAACACACATTTTAGTTTGTAATGTACAATTCGTAGCCTCAACCAATTTAGTACTTCCAATTACAGAAACATTAAAAAACAACGGAAAGCAAAACAAAATACACAAAAAGTCAAAACTTATTTTAACAATTTATTTGTAATAGCTCAATGTACAATGAAACTAGAGAGACAGGAGCAGCTGATGGAGCTCAGGCGAATGAAGTTGCAAATCGAGTAAGGATGTGTAAAAAGTAACGCTTTGACTATATACAAATTTGTTTTTCAACTAAGCCAGTTTTTTGTAGATGGAAATTATTTATTTAAGTAACGATTTTATTTATGTTACTACTCTGCTGTCATTGTTTAGCATTGTTTGATTCAGCTGTACAACACTAAAACTAAACCTCTTCAACAAAAAAAAACAAAAAACAAAAACCAGCAACCAGAAAAGTAAAAACAAATTAACCTCACCATTACCCGTATTCCCTACCGTACCCAACAAACACACTCAAGCATAAATTACTCAATGTTAATATTAAATAATAAATGTGATTTAAGAAGAATAAACGAAAAAGAAAACATGGTACTACGTAAACCGGATGAATGATTGAAAAGCATTACGAAATGGGAAAAATGTTACTCAAGCAAAGCGACGCAAAGAACTGGCCAAAAAACCTGAGTACGAAAGTTATATACATACTTGATAATATGATATACGTGTGGTCTGATCAAAGGGTTATTGAAACGTAATTCAAAGATTTATTAATGTAATGCGGAGCAATCTAAGCAGCAGCATAAGATATTTATATATGTAAACACGAAAACCACTATTAATATAAATGTGTAATTTCAATTCAATAACTGCTTATCAAAATACCTGACTGTAGAAACTTTTCATTAAACTGATTACGAAGAAAACTCTTGAGAAATACTAAACGAAAATTTAAATTACGACAGAAGCAAAATAAAATAATGAAGCGCCGACAAAGTCAAAGCAAAAGCTCCGTTAATCAATAAAGTGTGAAATGAATTATACATTTTAGTCTTGTCATTCTGAAACTATGCTTAGTGGACATTCTAATAATATGCAGAATTAGAAGCTACTTTTTGGAATGAATAGATTTTTCAAGGTATTATTTTTTTTCAGAAAAACACCTTTAGGCATCCTAGTCAAGTAAAAAGTAATAAATGTTTATTTAGCATATCTATTAACAAGCACATTCACAGTTAAATTAGCCCCGGTTAAGCAGCAGATTAGGATAGAACCGTAGCCCCTCCACGGACTCGTCGCGACACACTTTGCCCAGACGCTCTGCAACAAGTAATCGCTCCTTTGCCAGCAGGAGAGAGATTCCAAGCTGCTTGGCAAGTTCCTCGACAGCCAGAGACTCGGCAGCCTCAACCTTTTCCAATGTGTCAACTGCAATAAGAGCATCATCGTGCGATTCCAGTTGAAGCACTCTAGCACCGCTGGGAAAGCTGCGTAGGCGTATAGGACCACTAAGCTGCTCACAGGCGTGCAGCAAATCTTCTGGCGAAAGTAATTCAAGTCCACGGGCTCGATTCACTCGACAGTAAACGTCAGCCAAAGACATCATACCTCCTTGCTCCTAAAGATTGAAACATTGGTGATTATGAATATATATTTAGTTCAGTTCTTACCTCGATGGGATCTAGCAGCATCTCGCAAATCTGTCGGGCTAAGCTACTGAAGTAAGCCGAATTGCTAGTAAAGTTATCCCGCGTCACGGGATCGTCGATTCCCAAGCTCATTAAGTAGGATTTGAAACGCACCGTTTCATCGTCGGATATTTCGCCCTTTTGCTCGCGTATCTTGCTGCTAATTGTCTTGGACACTCCAACCATATCCTTCGCCATGGCCATGAGTACACTAAGATCTTGAAAGGCCATTGCTATATTCTCATCCGTTGCCTTGGCTTTCGCCTCCAGATGCCGTTCAATGCCGCCAATTCCTGTCCTTTTCTGAATGCGAGCTAGTCTATCGTTGGCTGGTTCCGACACTGGACTACTGCTCAATCCATTAATGACAGTTTCGTTGCTCAGAACTATTTCCCAGACGCGGGCATTAAGAGTCTCCCGCAGAGCGCTGTGGAACTCCACGCTTAGTCCATTCTTTCCGGATAATTTGATGTGAGTTGCTCGACTGGTGTCCAGTGGTCCAGGCCCTTTGTTCGGCGCCGGAGGACGAAGATGCATAATTATGCGAGTCTTGCGCCCAAAGAAGTTGGAGGCAGTTGTCTCCTCGCTGAGGGATATCACATAACTAAGTGGCAGGCAAAGTGTTACGGCGGCCCGGGCTATTTCTCCAGGACGACCCCAGAAAAGTCGGTGCGTGGTGAGCACTATTTCGCCCTCCTCAAACTCCGTCTGATAACGTTAATGTAGTATATTACACTGGGTTTTTGATTGAGGGGGTTCACCAGCTCACCTTTTGGTCGCCATCATATATTTTCACCTTGTTATCGCGGCTGACAAAGGATTCATTAGAACTCAAACGGGCCTCCACATAGGCGAAGCGATTCATTTCGGGTACCTGTTATTTTATGTTTCGCCGTTCTGTTTGTTGTGACATTTGTTGGAGATGACCTAACTTGCGTGACTAACTTGTGTTTTAGAGATGGCAACATATTTTTACAGTAGACATCGGCTAAGGAGATTATAATATATATGTGTATTAATATTTTTGGTTTGGTTTCAGTTTTTAGTTTTCATACAAAATATTAAAATTTTGAGTTCTTGTCAATATATTTATACGTAGATATATTAATGTAATATATTTGTTAAACTCTTTGCGATATATGATATGTTACATTGTTACATAGAAATCTATCGCCTTGCTAAAGGAATATCGTGCGGGCGCGGACTATCGATATACCTCTGGGCTGGTATAGATAAAGAAGAAGCAAAACGGTGCAGCAGCACTTCTATTTTCGTGATAGTTTTCCCCAATTAGTGCTAAAATTTATAACCATAAATGCTATTTTCCGACAAACATATGCAAAATGATGTGTTTTTCCTGAGCTGCTTACATAACAATGCACTAGTCGCGCAATAAGCAACACACATCGATCACCTGGGATTAGCGAGGCTTTGGTTTGGACTTCATGGCGACTGTGACGGAGGGCAGTAAAATGCTCGAGGCAGCCCTTCAGCAAATGGATGGCCTCATATCGAGCACGGCCACCCAGGCGGGATCGGTATCGGGAGCAGGAGCTTCTTTGACGCTTAGCGAGCGAAACTTGATTTCGGCCACCAATGTTCTGTCGACAGCAAAGACTTTGGCTCTCGCCCTGCAACAGGTGAGTCACTCAAAATAAGATAAGACTGAGAAACCACAGGGCTGATATGCTTATTTTAGGTCGGTCTGGCTGCTCCAGCCCCGGATCCTGTCACTGCGGCCATCATCAGCGATTGGCTGGAGACACACATACCGCGCCAAGACTCCGACGAACGAATGCGACGCCTGCAGCGCGATAAGGAGGGATTGGCTCTGCAGTATCAAATGCTTGCGGAGCGTGTCTCCGAACAGGCTGACAAGATCATAGAGCTCGAGGGCCTTATAACAGAAAAGAGCCAGCAACTATGCACCAAGGAGGAACAGCTGCAACGTCAAATGATTTCGAGTTCGGCCTACGAAACGCAAAAGCTGCAGTTGATGAGTGCCTTAAGTGAATTGAAACTACACCGCACTGCCTTGGAACAAGCCAACGATGGAAGCGGCATAATTTCAGCCAGTATTCCGTACGGCAGTATGAGCAATATTAACCAGAAGCCCTTCCTGGGGTCCCCTAAAACGCCGCCATCTGCACTGCGTCATCAGATCAAGCCGCAGTTCCACAGCTTGCCGAGGTCACATGGCAAGCTGGCTAATAATAATAACAATCGTGCCTTAGACGTGAATGCCAACAGTAGCGGCAAACAGCGGAATGTAGTCTTTGCCTCGAACGAACAAATTCTGATCGAAGACAATCCTAATCAAGCGGAGGATGCTATGACTTCCAGCTTCATGTCGCAGTTTACGCCCTCACCTAAGCTTCGTGAACGATCTGCTCGCGGCTTGCGAAACATACTAGGCAAGTTGCGGCGCAGTAACAGCAGCAACTGTGAGTTGACTGCCTTGGAGCAGGCGGAGCCCGAGTTCCGGCGAGGCGGTTCCCGAGCAACCGCTGGAGGACGAATAGAGTGGAGTGCCCAAACACCGTTGTTCGGTGAGAACGAAAAGCATTGGAGCACCTGGGGGCCCCAGGAAGTGTGCAATTGGTTGGCATACATGGGTCTGGGCTCCTACGAGGACAACTGTCGGTAAGTTCATCATAGCATAGCATAGTAACGAGTAAGTGAATAATGACAATTTTTCGTCCTTAGAAAGTGGCTGAAGGCCAATCCATCTGTATCGTTCTTTACCGCATCGCCTGTCGACATTGAACGTGAGCTCAACCTGAAGCTACCGCTTCACCGAAAGAAGATCTTGTTGGCCATCGATGACCTAACTGGAAAGGAATTCGACGACTTGACATTGAAAGCATCCAGCTTGGATGTGGCTTGGGTTCTGCGCTGGCTGGATGACATTGGTCTGCCCCAGTACAAGGATTACTTTATGCAGGCCAAGGTCGACGGACGGATGCTGCATCGTCTAACGCTCGAGGATCTTTCCCAACTGCACGTGAGCTCCTGTCTACACATTGCATCTTTGCGAGCGGGAATTTTGTGCATGCGCCGTTTGTCTTGGAATGCAGAGGGACTGATTCGACGATCCATTAAGGTAGTCAGCGAAGATGAGGCTGCAGCCAGTCCGGACAGAGACAACGTAGAATTATGGACAGCGCACCGAATAATGGGTTGGTTACAGACCATTGACCTCTCCGAATACACGCCAAATCTGCGTGGTGCTGGTGTCCACGGCGCTTTGATGCTGTATGAACAGCGCTTTAATGCAGATCTGTTGGCCGACCTTCTGTCAATACCACCGAGCAAGTCTTTACTGCGCCGTCATTTGGCCATGCATTTCAAGGAGCTGGTAGGTCGGCCGGTCATCCTCAGCAAGCGTGATGCCGAATCGGCACCTGGATACCAACCCCTAAACATTACTGCTAAGCTGAAGCCGGTAAAGAGAACACAGTTTTCGTTAAAGCGTCGCAAGAGCTCCAAGGGACAAAGCGACATAGACTGGACAGAGTATGTGTGCCCAATGAATGCCAGGGTGCCGGAGTCTTCTCTGGCGGACACGGCCAAGGACCATGAGAGCTCAATGAGTTCGAATTGATGATGAAGCCGACAGACGCACAAATAGATTGCAAGAAAAAAATGTTTTTTAGTTGTAAGCTCAAGCCTGTCCCATGATCCCTACACAAACGAACGAACTGCCACCTGAACCAATTAAGCAACCAAATCCACAAAACGTGCGACAATATTAGTGAGAATTTATCTGAACACAGGCACGCCCAATCTTCCAAACATCTTTCGAATGAATTCGATTTAAAATTCTTTCGTCAACCTAAGCATACCAGCAAACATTTTGGAAATCTTTATATTAACTGTAACTAACATTTAGGATAATCTGGATCTGGGATGCAATGACATCTTCTGAATAAGCATAACGATAATAACGAGAAGTATTCGCAATGGCATTGAAACGACCTTGAGTGCGATCATAACCCTTATAGACTTATCGCCCATTTTGGAGTTTATCTTTTGTACTAACACGTAACTGTATTGACGGATATTTTATAAAATACAAACTACGTTGCCTTTTACAACCAAATATGTTTTCTAACTTTGCTAACTGAAAACTATAAAACTATTCTTTGTTTATCAACAAATACCTTTTGATTTCTTACCATAAATTATTACTTCGTTTTGACTTTTACGGTTAAACATTGAGTTTATTTGTTAACAATAACATTGTATTATGCACTAGAAAAACTGATGAACGACTAGGAAGCGTGGCTGAGGATCATTGATCGTGTTGTTGGGTAGCCCGCATGGACGGAATCGGCATGGGTTGCTCTGCTCCACCCTCAACTGGCAACGCCGACCGGTACTTGACCGGCCATTATCTGATCTTAAATTTAAATCTTTGGCAGTGCTTTGTGTGACTTGTTCCAGGATTTCCTCTGGCAAGGCTTACGTAGCCTGGTTGGCGGCAGCTTGGGTCTCCTGACTGGGCAGGATATTCTCTCGACTGCCGCTCTGGTGCTTGGCTAAATCGCTTTCCGGTATGTGATCCTTCCAATTGCGGAACAGGTAGCGTGTGAACTTTTTTAGCTGCCTAAACTTGCAGTACGTGGCACCTTCGGCGGACTGTAGCTGCTGGGTTTGGATAAGGAAGCCTTTCTCTTTGAAGGTTTTCTCCAGCTTCTCTCGTTGCTTTGATCGCCGCGAGGATCGTCGTTTTCGTTCGCTCTCTGACGGGGATTTGCCCTGCGACTGGCTGGGGCACACGGTTCCGGGCATTGGACTCTGGGAGCTGGAGCACTGAGAGACTGGACTGTGTGGCGCCGCTGCTGTCACCATATGATTAGTGCTAGGAAGGAGTAGCGTTGACGTGGGCGATTCCGGTGATATGTGCAGCAATTCAGGGCTGAGGTCGGTCGATGGTGGTGGTATATCCACGTAGAGCTTCTCCTGGCCCTGAGGTTGCTGCTGCTGCAATTGTTGTTGCTGATCCCGCGAGATGAACTCGTATCCTCGCATGGTCTTGTCCCCGGTTCCATTGTAATACCGATAGTTTCCCTCCGCGTCCACAGAGAGCATCTTCTTCTCCTGCAGCGTGGGTTTGGCCCCGCCGGTGAACTTAAACTTGCAGATGCTCACCTCGTTCGAGGGACTTGATGAATGCTCGGAGGGCATGGGCGGGATGAAGATCGCTGACCGTTTCCGCTTGCGCATGGCCAGCGGCGTGGTCTCATTGGCAAAGAAGCCGCTTGGAATCGGTATCTTAAGGGACAGCTGGTTGTCCTTTTCGATTGTCTCCAGGGGTACGGGCATCCCGCCCAGGCTGCATGACTCTACCAGCTGCTGGTAGTATAGGCCAACCGGTTGAAGCAGCAATTTGGCAGCTGACATGGGCTGATCCTCGCTCCCGGCCAGCTCCAAAGTCAAAGGCTTCCCAGAACTAAGTGGAGTGGTGCGGTGTGAGGAACAATCCGTCGTAGTCGTGGTCGTGGTCGGTGTAGTTCTCGTTGTGGGTTTCTCACTGTCGCCGCTGGAGATGGAGTAGCGATCGCCACTCTGGTCACGCAGGCAGAGATTCAGAGGCTCCTCGGATGACACTGCAATCGTGGAAGTTGATGACGGCGGAGCTGCACTAACGGGCATCGCCGCCACAGATGCAGGAACAATGGTGCCATAGTTTTTGTAGATCAGATGGCAGATGTCCGCCTTTTTGGGCTTTCGGCCACGACGTGGCTTGTAGTTATCCAGCGTGATCTCACCCATGTAAGGCAGGTCGGCGTATTTCAGAGAGTTACGCTTCGAAGTGGTGGTTACCTCAGGAATTTTGGCAGGCACCACCGACGTGGCTGCGATGGGTGAAGATCGTGAGGTGGGTGGCACAGGACGAGGTGCTGGTGGTTGCTTCTGCTGTTGGCGCTCGGCACTACGCTGAATCTCGGCAATCTTTCGCAGCCAACTGCGTACGTTCTCGTGAGCTTGAGTTGGTGGCGGAGGTGGCGGTGGTAACACCGGCCTTGGTGGCTGACGTCCTTGAGTGGCCTCGTAATGAGCGGCATACTCCGCAGGAAGAGCTTGATGGTGGAAACGCAGCTTCATGGCCCCCGCATCGCCTCGTTTTCGAGTTCGGGTTTGGCCTTGGCTTGGCACCGACCTAACTGTCTTTTGTGGTGAGGCAGTGCTGGGCTGCTCTTGCGGTGGCTGCCTGTTTGCTCTTCGGCTGCCCATCAGCAGATTGGCCTTTAGCTGCTGCTTGGTTAAGGGACTGCAAGTGCCATTGTGCGGTGTCTCATGACCGGCACTTTTGCGCGCCAGTAGCGTCTTGAAGGGATGGTCCTCGTCGTGGACGTCATTAGTGGCGCCATGCGAGATCAGCGGGTCGTCGGAACCCTGCAGCAGCAGCCGGGTGCTGTTCAGATCCAAACGGAGTTGTGAGTGCTCTGGTGTGGGTAGCCAGCACTCCAGGTCGGGATCATGTTCCAGCTTTATGTTGGGGAGTAACTGGTCCAAATTGTTGGTGGCCGGCGCTACTGGCACTAACTCACCCTTGCCAGCACTGCCATTCAGTTCGCAAACCCTGGTCAGTTCCTGCATGCTGATCCTGGCTGAAATGGAAGTAAGAAAGAGGAAAGTTAGTTCGATGATATCGAAGAACCGTGATCGTATTTTCTTTATTATTTCAAATAATTAAAACCAAGAAAAGCTAAGTAAATAATAGTAACCAATACGTTGCGTATACGTGATGCGAGAAACACACGTTTTTCCCTCCGTTTGTGTTGTTATTTTGATCGCCGGCGGACGGAGGAGGAGACCTGCTTATTCTCTCTTTCGAACGGTGGCCAGCACGGGAATTCTATTTAAATGTCTGAAAGGAACTGGCAAGTGGCGCTCTCTTTGCCAAACACACACAGACGTACACCGAATATCGCTCCGAAACCGAAATGTTGTTTTTGTGCATGAAATTCGATTCCTTGGGCCAAAAGCATGCCCATAAAAGGTCTAAATGCCCGGCCTGAATGAATGTGAATCTTAACTAAATTATTCCATTGTAGAATTACGAAGACTTTGGAGTAGAGAGAGTTATTATTACCTCGTTGTAAGTATCGTTTGTACTGTTAAGGTGCCCCTGGAAAAGTAGGGATCTCTCTATTGGGCTCGTCTTTGGTTTCAGTCTTGGCTCAAGATGTCCGGGTAATCCCAGCTGGATCACCACCAAATCGTCACAGTCCACAGATCACTTCACGCTGCCAAAGGCAGTTGATCGACCAGAATCACCGCTGTACGCGTGTACATCGTGTTGACATCCAAAACGCAACTAGTTGCGGGAAAGCCGAGTCGCGGAAAGCATCGCTTCTTCGGAATATGCTCCTTAGATGGACCGCCGCGGAGAGTACGCCCCACACACAATAGAGGAAAAATAGCGCGGACGATGAGCGGGCCAAGTGAAAATCAAATCAAATTCCTACGCTCTTTCGGCGGAGATGCGTTGTCGCTGCTCGACACACCGATGGATGTCGTGGTCTGTATTTAACGCCAAAGACGAAGCTATTTCGTGTGTGTTCATTTTTAGAAAAATCCAACTTGTTGCCGGCCATATAGAAGACCCCACAACCCCCCCATCTTCACATTCTCGCTCTCTGGCCATTCGGACAAACATCCAATCCACAACACTACGCAGAATGCGGCAACCAAAAAGAAAAACGAAAATATTTTCAACAAAAAGGAATATATTTTTTGGTTTGGTTTTCATTCATGGGCTGCTTGTGCGCCTCTGCCAGCCAACTTGTTTATTGTATCAACAGATCAGGGTGAAAACAAATTGGTTCCGTTTAAGTTCTCGGCTGCAATGGGAGCAGTGTTCTTACTAAGGGGAAGTGAGATTGCAGAGGGTATCACCTGGTCGATCACCGCCCCCTCGATTTCTTTATAGCTCTCTTTTTTCGGTTGGATCGCATATACGCGTAAGATCGCTCAGTTTGATGGCATTTTATTTTTAGCACCTTGCTACTTCGGGTTAGGGCAACTAAGAATCGCCTGCGCCTCAATCGGATTATGATTTTACGGGTAAGGAAAGGAAAGGAAAGAAAAAAACACCTCCCGAAATAGACAACGGATCGAGGCGGGTCCTCTATTTCGGGCCGAGCACATGGTAATATAGGTCACCTATGGTTACACCTGGAGTGGGTATACACCGAAAGAAAAGGATTATCGAAAACATCGTAAGAGTTTACGAAAATATAATTTTTTTAAGATTTTTAAAGAGTTTTTTTATGGTTTGAAAAAATATTTAAAAACTCTAGTAAAGAAAAATGTACTAATTTGTCTTCCTAAAAATTCCAAAATTTCATAAACTGAAGAAAAGTTTCTTAAGAACATTAATATAAAATTTAGCAAATTTAGTTTAAACACAAAATATAACATAAAAAAAAGTAAATCTTTTTGAGACCAAAATGTAAACATAACAAAGTGACACAGCAAAATGAACTTACAAAAAAAATGTTATAAATGTTGATAGCACTGTTGCAGTAGGTCATGGGCTAAAGAGGCACTTTCATTATAATCTTAGATGTGAAATCTGAAGAATAACGTAATAGATAATACTCAGAATATCTGAATTCCAAGCACAATCAGCAAAAGCACTAACCAAATGCGAAAACATGCCTTTTTGGGGCTGCTGCGTTCTTCAAGCGACTCATTTGGATATGGAAACCTTATTGATCGATCAGATCACTTAATAATACCTACCCGATTTCAGCTGGAAAGAATGGCATTCCCGGTCGAACGTTTTTCGACTGTTTCGCATCGCGTGCAAGATCGAACTTCGCAGTGATCACTGTGCAGCAATGATGACGCCTGAAACGCTGGCTGTGGTGGGTGGGCGAGTTTTTCGCGACCTGCAGAAGCTTTACATTCTACAGTTGGTTAGACGGCGGTTAGACGGCGGCAGTAAGCGGTAATTGGTAACTGGCAGTCCAGAACCGGAGCTTACATCACCGGCAAGCGGCGTCCAACCTACGGATCCGGAGCGTAGCTCTTGAATATTGCACATCTATTCGGCAGCTGCGACTGTTGCTGCTGCTGCTGCTGCTATCTGCTAGCATGTTTATTAAGCGACACTCACAGTCAATACCTGCTTACGCGAACGTACATATTTGTATTTATGGCCATAACTGCCACTTCAATCGCCCACGCTCGCAGCAGACACACAGCCATGTCGCTTGCGAATTCTATAGAGACCAAGAGTCTTTAGTCTGGCCTTGCCTCAAGTTCACTCTTTTCCCAGAGATATTGATATGAGTTTTCTCCCCTGGGAATATACATAAAATATCTCACTTCACTATAAACATAATTTTCACTGTTAATTTACGATGATTTTGCGATGATTAGCCGGTTAGAATTGGCGAGCGAATATGCTAATGCTTGGCTTCGAAAAAGCGAACTGCTGCCGCCTGATCCGACTTCCATTCAAATCAGATTCGCTTTTCGTTATGTTAGCCAATTTGGCCAGGTGGCCAATAATAATAAGATTTTTTCCAGACAGACAGACCTGCCATATCGTTGGAATAAGAAACAAGGCTGGTAAATGATATTTTTATGGTAAAAGTTTATTATTTGCAACTTTATTTTTTAGTTTCTTCTTTGTGTTTTTTGTTTTCATGTTTAAATGTCTATAAAGTATATATAATATATATATTTCTGCATTTTTTGTGGTTTGTGTTTGTTTTTTTTTTGTTGTTTATTTCTTTTTTTTTTTTTTTAATTTTTCATAATTTTTTGTTTTTTTGGTTTTGTTTGGTTTTTATTTAACTTGCCAGTTGTTCTTTGTTTATATACCTATTACACATTTGCATAAGTTTTTGTGTATAATAATTATTGTTAATAATAATTTAATTGTTGTAATTATAACTTGGTTTATAATCTCCTCCCGGTCTCTCTCTCTTTCTCTCTGTCTATATCCAATTTCCTGCTCCTCGTTTATAATATGTCCCCGCCTCCGTATCATCAATGCGCTTATGTCGCCCCATCAGCGACGCCCAGTTTTCTTTTCTTTTTCTTTTTATTTATTTAATTTGTTTTTGTTTTTTGTTTTTTTTTGGCAAACGAAACAAAATGTACACTGCTTGCCCATATCATTTTTGTTCTTGTTGAAACTGGCAATATAATTAATACTAGGGTGTTTGATATTTTCTGTTTTTATTACGATTTATAGCTCCATCTCAACTTATTGGTTAGCCTTTCGCCACGATCTCTGGATCTAACTAATCTGCTTTTGCTCCTCTACTGCTTCTATTTTTAGCTGTGACTATGGTTGGGATCAGTTTTGGGATCAGAGCTTTTCTTTTTTGGAAACTCAAAATTGATCGGAAATGATGGTTGTCTAGGATGGTGGCGGTGGCCTCTTTAGTCGATCGGTAGTTATTGTTACTGTAGTGTAATAATGTACTCATCTATTATTATGCTGGGTTTATTTATGTTGTATCCTGCAGTAAGTCGCATAAATAATGTTTAAAATATACTTCTGTTAATAATGCTTTAAGTATTAAAATATTTATAGTTTTTTGTCCATAATTAATTAATAGTTTTCTTGTTCGATAGCATTTAATTGTGTTTGTGGGCTTCCAGCCGATTTCCATGTGCCAAAACATCATGGAAAAGGCCGATTGAGTATATATATAGATATATATATATATATATATATATATAATATATATCTGTATTGTTTTTTTCGGTGTTTACTTTCATCCTTTTGTTTTTAATGAACGAATGCACAATTTTTACACACTTCGCCATTTTGGTTGCATTATTCATAGATTGTATTTAATGTACACATATGTATAGTATATAGCGTATATTTCTATAAATAGTTATATAAAGACCTTCTTGTTGCTATTATAAATGATTTACTTAATTGTTCTTCACGTCTCTCCCGACTCATCCATCTGTTTCGATCAACTACGTTTGACTATTACATCATTACCATCATCATGATCATCGTCCATGTTAGTTCGGCATTTAATGTGTGTAAATATAAATTTGTTGTCATATTTAATATATATATATATACGTATGTATATGTGGGAGTATGCATGTTATAGCTGTGTGTGTGTGTGTGCATGATTCTGGCCTTATTTCCGTTTCCTTTTGTGATGTATCTTGGAAAAAATGCATGTAAGTGAGAAAAATGCTCGATTTGTGTACAAAGTGCATTCGATGTTAGAATTCAAATCAAATTTCAATGTCAATGAAGGACTACAGAGAAAAACTCTTGAACTGTTCCGGGCTCTCTTAGGGCCAAGTTAGTGTGATCCTGTTTATGCTCTATTTATATTTTTTTTATTTCTTTTTGATTCTGAAACCATTTTACATTTAACATTTAATTCATGTGTTGTTATTCTTGATTTCTTCTCTTGGTTTGGTTTTCTTTTCTTTTCTTTTTTTCGACTTTGAAATTCGAAATTCCTCTTGACAGATTTCTTTAAAGGAACTGATCACGAATCACGTCTTCTGGGGGTGTAAAAGCATGCCTTTGTGTTTTGCCTTTTTGGTATTGGTTTTTGCTTTAAACTAAATTAAATACGAATCGGCATTTTCTGTCTCTTTACATTTATGCTACTAATATTAAGTGCAAGTTCTCTTAATTTTAAATGTCATTTGCTGAATTTTAATGTTAGTATTTTTCTTTTTCTTTTTCTTTTAGTTTAGTTTTTCCATTTTGTGTGTTTCTCATTCACATTTTGCTGCTAATTTCTTATTGTTTTCGTTAAAGGTGCTCTTCAAAAATCTCAAATAATGGATTGATGTAATATTTGTATTTGTGTGGGCTTGTTCTTGTTCTGGGTATTATCATCGGTAAAGACGAATGTCATTTTACATAGGACTTGGGCAATAGCAAATCAAATCGAAATCGAGGCAAAGTTATCAAAAAATCAAATCACATGCCGTTGCTTACGTGTGTGTGTGTGTGTTTGTTTGTGTGAGTGTTCTGTGTGTGTGTGTTTTTTTTTGCATAATGCTAAATACGGACGGATTTCTAAACGGAAAGTATATAGAGTGTACAAAGAAGCTGTAGCTGTAGAAATACCTTCTGAAATGCATCTCAAGCTACACTCAAAAAAATTCCAAGTGTTTGTGTTTTTATATGTTTGTTGATGTGTTAAGGCTAAAATCTAGACTAGCAACTAGTTTTGGTTTTTTTTCTTTCTCAATAATATGCAATAATTTAACCCTCTGGTTAGGGGGGGGGTTTCTGTTTTGAGGGGCTTTATACTATATACAATATAAATTCGCTTTGACCATTTGGTTTTATTCGATTAGCCTGCTGCCAAAAACTGCATGAGTTATATCTCTGTAGCTCGTAGCTCGATCTAACATTTGGCTAAGTACTAAAAGATAACAGTTTTATCTACAAAAAATAACTTTTGGGCCTTTTCAACGCCAATATCTCCAGCCGTACTCTCATATCATCATATCATAATCATTATCAATCCATCCGATTCGGTTTGTATAATTGCAAAATTGGTTTATAATGCTTGGTTGACCTTAGCTCGCTAATAAATCTTTCTTTGTTTCATAGTAATAGTAATAATTGTCATAATAATAGTATTATAATATATCGTCTATATAAGTACGACTAGTTTCGGTTTTTAAAAATGTTTAAATTTCTCCCTTTTTTTTTTTTTTTTTTTTTAATATTTTTTGTTGTATTTTTTAAATGCACTTTCTGAGCTTTCTTACAAGCGCCGCCAATTATTGTTGCTGGTTTTGTTGTTGTTGTTGTTGTTGTTATATTCCTATGGCTACTACCGCCTTTCCTTTGTCCCAACTATGCCCATGGTTGATGATACTTCTAAAGATCTAACCCTATGCCTATCCAAGCGAAATCTATTTGGTAAGCAAAGCTTCAAAAAGTGTGTCTCGAGCTTAAAAATATCGTATCGAAAAAAGTGCGAAAGCTTTTTTTTTTTGAGGGGGGGGAAAGTATAATACAAATGAATTGTTATATAATATGAAATGATCATAGTTAGTTGATAAGTTTAGTTTACTATTTAGATTTAACTGCATGTTTTACCCTGTATCCAATATGTCATTCTTGTGTTCCTATTCAAAATCAAAATCAAAAATGCGCTATATTAAAGGCAAAATGTTTTAGGCTTGGCAAAAAGATATGCACCCCTAACGTCCTATCAATCCTACCCTACACATTCCTCCTTATCCCTTCTGCCTTTGTTGGGCCCATGTAACTGTGTCTGTGTGAGTGTTTTGGTGTGTTAGTTGTTAGTTACTGTGTTGATTGGGTGTCCTTGTAGGTGTGTAGTTAGAAAACTAGTGTATGCAATTTTGGTAAGTCCTTGGTTATGGTGGGGTTAAGTGCTTGTCTCTATCGTTATTTATCGTTATCGTTATCATTAGCTTTAGTTTTAGTTTTTTAGTTTTTTAGTTTTTGTTTTTGTTTACCTTTACTTTTACTTTCTTTTTAAATACCTGCAGAAAAGTGTATCTAAATATATTTTTGATTAGTAAGTTCTAAACTTGGACTCCATGTGTTTTTTTGGTTGTTGTTCATGTTCTTTTGTTTCCGTGTCAGTGTTTGTAAGCTTCATTCACTACTTTGTCTAACCTTGTCATTAACTAGTATATAATATATATATATTTATATATATGTATATATATATTTGTGTATAGTATATATAATAAATAAAGAAGTTAGTTTTTATTAGTAATGCCATTTGTATAGAGTAATAAACATTCTATAAGAATGCCACATTCCGCACTTTGTATAATAAAAATACATTATGCGTAGGACAAAATCTATTCGCATATAGATTAAGTTTAAGGAACGATCATCGATAAGAGACTTCATTTTCATTAGTAATGTACAATGCTTATTCTTAGTTTAGCGCTATACTTAGCTGTCTACAAAACGAAAATTGGAAAATTCAAAAGTGAAATCAAAAGGGAAATCAAAATTCAAAATGCAATGCCAATGGGGGTCCCTTCGATTTCATAATCTCTTTCGCCGGCAGCAACAAACAACTTGAGAATCGCTGAGAAGTCTGCCGCCAGGTTATAGACTACTTTTCGCATATCCGCGTATTTGATATGATGGTTATGTATGCATGTATTGTTGAGTTCGTTGTGTGTGTGAGTGAGTGAGTGTGTGTGTGCGTTTAATTAAGAGTTAGAGACTGTGAAAACGCGGATTATGACGAGGCTTAAATGCAGATTGTGGTAGCTCTAAAGGAATTCTTTTCTGGCACTAAACTGGATTTTGGCAAAACTTGCAAAGAAAATGTGTGCCAATTTTCATATCCACTCAAGCGATATCGGGCGAAACCTGTCCATATTTTTCTTTGATCAGTTAATGTGGTTGCATTATCTATGGTTTATGTCTAGGAATATTTTAATTTTTACGAGTTCCAATTTTTTTACACTTTATGCTCAAGGTACAATTGTCTTTTTCTATTCGTTAATGTTTAATATGAATTCGACATGTTTTTCTCTCTTTTTTGTTTAATTATTTTAGCTTTGTTTTCTTTCCTTATTTTTTGTTTTTTGTTTTTTGTTTTTTAGTTTGCTTTCATCACATTTCATTTCGAATTTGAATTAAGCGACTTAATTGTTCGTTTATATTGTATTTTATTCGTTTATCGATTTAATTTTGATTTGGCTTTAGTGGTTGCTTGTTATCACCGCTCTTTAAAATGATCAATAAAAAACAAACTAAGCGCAAACGATAAATTAATTTGATTTTGTTCACACTTCTTTTTTCTTTGTTAAACGTTCGTGTCACAGCCCTTTTCGTGTTTTTTGTTTGTTTTTATTTTTTTTAAATTTATCAAAAGATACTTAAGGGAGAACAAGGTTAAACGATATCGGAGGGTATGGGTGGGGAAATGCTGCCAAATTCTCAGTCCACTGTTTGCTGATTGGGGGGGATAGATAGTGTAAGTCTGTCCTTGTTTTTGGTTTCTGGTTTTTGCCAATTTTGAAATCAATCAAAAGCCGGATGTCACAGACGCGGAAAATAATGAGAAAAATAAAACAAGTTTGTTTGCTTTGTATTTTTGTATTTTTTTTTTTTCAATTTGTTTTCTCATTTATTTGTTCTGCTTCTCTTGGTTTAGTTTTTAGTTTATTGTGTGTGTTATGCTTTAGAAATAATAGTTACGATAATTTAGGTTTAGGTTTTTAGTTTTTAGTATCCTTCCTTTTGGTATATAAGTTGCATAATTTTGCCAAAATCAGTTTAGCACAAAATGTATTATTTTGCTTTGATTCCGTATGGTTTCATAGTATAGTGTATATGATCTAAAAATGTTCTTGTATAATAGCATATAATAATAATAATAATAATAATAATTATAATAATTTTCATTTTGTTTTTATATATATTAATTTAAATACTTGTGTTCGTATTTTCAATACATAGATAAATCATAATTCGTTAATCATAATCATAGTACATAATAATAGTAAATTATTATTATCTCAATAGTTTGACTTGGTTTTTATTTATTATTTTTATATATTTCTTATTTATCATTAAGGTTTAATTTTCTTTATGCAATAATTAACTTGAATTTGACTAGATCGATTCATACAAGATCGTAAATACATGTAGTGTGTGTGTGTGTGGGTGAGTTTTCGGGTGTATTTGGATGAGTTTCTTTTCCGAAGTAAAATTCTAGTTTAGCATTTTAAGTGAAAGCTGTCAAAATTCTCTTGGGTGTCTCTTCTGGCTGAACTACTTTTGAATAGGCGCTAAAATCAGTTTGATAATTTGTCATATATGTTATGTACTTGGTATGTTTTTGTAGGTATATAATATGCATGTGTGTGTGTGTGTGTGTGTCGTTAAATAACTGCCATTTTCCATTTTCCATTTTCGTTTCTTTTCAGTGTGGGACTTTCATCCGCCTTAGGTTTCATTTTCTATATTTACAATATTACTCCTGTCGAGGCTTAACATTTTGTGATTCATAAAAAAAAGCGAATTAAATTAAAAAAGATTTAAAGATTAAATCGTTTTGTCCTTGAATATAATAATATTTCCCCTCACTCTCTGGCTTATAAACTCTTTCTATATTCTTGCCCAGATTTCTAATACTGTCTCAGTGATCCAACTGGCAATACTCATAAAAGTAAAAAGTAAAATTCAAAACTGAAAACTAAAATTGAAATGGAAATATTGATATTGGTTGAGAGGGAACCCATAAGTAGCTGCACCAAAGTATTTATTGCACTGGTAACAAAATTAACTTTAACTCTGATAACAATTTCCTTTTTTTTATAATTTTAAATATTTCTTATAGTTCTTTATATTTGTATTTGTTAATATTTAAATTTGTTTTTTGTTTTTTTTTTATATCTTTAGTATCAAATACGTCCCGCAGATGGAGACTCATACTGCAGGACCCACATACTAGGCGACTCTAAACTTATCATTTTCACTATACAAACTCTAAATAATTGTTAATTTCTTATCCCTTCCTCCTTTTTCTTTATCCTTTCACTATCCATAATCTTATTTTTTGGCATATTTAGCTGTAGATTCGACTCAAACGGTCCTTCTCCTCATCGTATTCTTGCTTTTGTACAGATTTTGCTGCTAAATTGTTAAAGATTCGATTCAACAGATAGTTGAGTAAATGTCGGATAAAGATCTCATTTCTTTTATGTTTTTTCTTTACTTTTCTTTTTATTGACAATAATATTTAGTTAGATTTCAGTGTGTTTGGTGTGCGGGGGTATATTGTGTGTGAAAAATAAAACAAAGAAAAGGTTTTTGAATAAATTGAATAGGCCGTGATAAATTCTCTAGTTTCGCTAAAAAATACTTGCTTTTTGACTGTGATAAAAATTCTAATGGTAATTTGTTTTTGTGTTTATAATAACAATCAATAATAATTAATATATGCTTAGTGTTAAATAGTTTGCTTAGTCTGGCTAGGGCGCGCTATGGTCAACTTGATCGGAATCTGATTCTATATCGGTATCGGTATCGGTATCGGTATCGGTATCTCTATCTTTCTCGGAGCTGGTTGTCAAAATAAGTGGCCAAAACTTTCAGTTTTCTGTATATCTATTTTTTGTATATATTTTTTATAGTAATACTTTCATAGCAAAATGTTTGTTATGTTCTTCCGTTCTTTCAGTAGCCCTATTTTTATATTCTCCTTTTTCCCCTTTTCTTCTCTTTGTGTTTTTTTATTTCATTTTTGCTTTTTTCTTGACTTTATCATATATATTTCTATGTATATATATATATATATATATGCATGTATATCTGTAAGTACCTGTAATTGTTTTTGTTGAAAGCAGCTAAGTTTAAGTGTAAAGTTGTTGTTTGATTTTATTCAAAATTTTGTTTATTATTCTATAAAATCGTTTACGATTTTCTTTAATACATTTTCAAACCAAACCTTATCGAATCGAACAAATTGAGAAGTTTAAACAATTACAAGAATCTTTCTCCCTCCGAGAATATAGGCCAACATAAAAGATCGCTGTAGATATTGTATTTCATTAATCTTTTTAATGTTTTTTTTTCGGTTTTTTGTTTTTAAGTTTGTTTAGCTTTCTTCACTTTGATTCTCTTCAATAGTTCTAACAAATCCATATTATAATATTTCTAAAATTAGTACTCATTTATATATTATAAAAAATGATATTTTTGCTTGTGGTCAGGCTGGTCGAACCCCCTGTTTTTTTTTTTTTTGAGAGGGTTGGACTTGGCCCTGAAAGCATTTCGCATATTAAGTGGCTTGCTTCTGTCCCGTCGTCTAGTCCTAACTTCCTATATCCGTTTTGTTTTACTTAAAATTAATTAAATTCGAATTTTTGTGTTAATTTTTTTCATGTGTACATATAATCTGTTTATGCATCTGTTGAATCTTTTGCCATTTTGCTTACCACTAAATGCTAAAAAGTTGCAGACCTACTTTGTCTTCTTTCTCACCTAACTGCCTCTATGTCCCTTCTATTATATTTTAACCCTTTCCATAAACTGCCTTCTGCCGTCTAATTACTCGATTAACTGTAAACTCCGATCGAGTTATATTCCTCATTCCATCATCGGATTAACAAATTCAGTTTTAATAGTTGTTCATTTGTGTTCGCTTTCTTTGCTTTCTTTCAACTAATTTTCCTTGCGCAGATTTGTTAATTTTTATAAATTCCCATCACCAATTACTCATATAAAATGGTTGCCGCCTCTTATCGTCCTTAATTGTTGTATTTTTTTTTTTATATATTTTATTTTATTTGAAAACCCAGATAATTTTGGTCTCTTGCCAGTCAGTTTTTGTCTCAAGTTTTGTGTGTGTGTGTGTGTTTTGTGTGTGGGAGTGTGTAGTGGTGTGCAATGTTTGTTGTTTTTTTAGTTGTTAACAAAACTATCAATATCAATATCAATGTTTGTTCCTTGCTTCTATAAATATATACTTTTATTAAATCGATATTTTGGCAAAAATTCTGTCATTCTTTCGGTTTTTTTTAATTTTTGTTTTTGTCTCAATTTTATAATTTTGTTTTTTGTTTGGTTTTCTCTTATTATTTTTATATATTTTCTTGTATGTACTGCTGTACTGCATTCAGTTGAATGTATAATCGGATAAATATATATAAATATATTATATATATAAATCTATTCAATTTTTCAGCTCTAAGGTGTTTTTTTCTTTTTTTAATTTACATTTTTCTTGTTTACTATTTTTTATTTTCTTTTTTTTTTTACATACGCTTTGCATGTGTTTAATTTCTATAATCGTTTTCACATAGCATGGCTGACGACCATCTGAAATGGGAGAAAGGCAATGTTATAAGAAGCGTATAAGGGTTAAGATCATATGTGATATATCGATAAAGTCTTGCTTATCGTGTATCGTTAAATGCGATAGAAATTTCTTTATTTATTTTATTCTAAAAGTCAACTTGTTCGATATATCAAAAATGACTATTATCTTATAAAGGGTCAACCGATTTCACTTATCGATCATTGATTAGTCTACCATTTTGCTCACCCCATCAATAGTTGCTCCTTATTGTAGCTGCAGTTGTTGTGGTTGCTGTTGTGTTTGATGTTGTTGTTGCTGCATATTTAGGCCTTTCGCTTCTGCTGCTGCCACATGAATAGTCTCTCGACCAGTTCAACTTTGGAGCAATTGGTATTGGTTTGTTGATCGTTATGGGACTGAGACTCGGGATCATTTCTGTTGTTGTTGTTGTTGTTGTTATTGTTGTCGCTGCAGTTGTCGTTATTGTTGTTGTTGTTGCTATTACGATAGCAATAAGTACCGCTACGCCAGCTGGCAAATGTATAGGGCATATGGGCATTGTGATTGGAACTTTCTCGGGGTAAAGTTGGCCTAAAGCTGTTGGTAAGGTTATTATAGTGGGCTGCGGCTGCTGCTGCTGCTGCTGCTGCTGCTGCTGTTGTCGCTGCTGATGCTGAGGTTATTCCCGATGTAGGCGTGGCTGCGGAAAATGCGTTAGTTGTTGGCAAAGCGGCTGTTGCTGATGTTGTTGCTCCAGTTGGTTGTTGTAAATTGCGTTTAAGGAACTCCGATTGTTAATAGGGTCGACTGGCATCCTTTGGCCGCTTCAATTGAACTTTCAGTCTTTTCATGCCAATCTGGAAGCCATTCATGGCCTGAATGGCCGCTTGAGCGCTGGCGGGATTATCGAATGAAACAAAACCTATACGAAAAAGTATATTTTATATTAATACAAAAAATATATAAATAAAAGAAAATATGTTGATGTACCGAAACATTTGCTCTGGTTTGTAGCACGATCAATGAAGACCTTGGAGCTGATCACATTGCCAAAGGGCAGGAACATTTGCATTAACTCGGCGTCGCCAAACTCTTGGGGCAAATGGTAGATGAAGAGATTGCAGCCCTCGGGTCCGGATATCGAACATCCTGGGAACATCAGAAAATCTTAAAGGGAGACATTTTAAAGAGAAGAAACAAAGTAGAGAACAAATTAAATTTAATAATGAGGAAAATCATAATATATAATTTATGAGTTATGTCTGCTTGCTTGTTCTTGTTTTTAATATTTTTGTTTGAATTGATTTCGATTTAGTTTTGATTTGGTCTGATCGATTTCTTATTGGTGATCTGTAATCTGTGATCTGTGTTCTGTGGCTGATCTTGTTTTTGGCTGGAAGACGAATCAACTAAAACTAAAGGGCGCATTAAAGGTCTGCGGAAAATAGGAAAACCAAAACCAAAAACCATATGAGCAAACGAACAGATCTAAATGAAGGGTTTCTAGGTATATACTCTAGATATGCCTTATGATTCTGGCCATATATATATGTATATATATATATATACTTATACTAAGCTTTAGCCCCAAATATCCATATGATAGTTATGTGTGTGGTAGATATGTATATGTGTGTGACTGGGTGTATATATCATGCAGGTAAGGTCTAGAGGATACACAGAGAAACAACAGACTACGGCGCACAGATATCGAAATGGAACCAAAACGAACTTTACACTCAAGTTAGGTTTATAGTAGTTAGCATATAGGTAGTATACACACACACACACACGAATACAAATGAATATGGCACACACATACACATACACCATGTTACAACCACACCCACACACACACACACACACACTCTGTTTTAAGGGAAGACAATGGATTACTTGTGTCCCTCTGGCCCTGACGAAAGGCAAAAGGCAAAAAGATGAGCAAAACGAACCGAAAAAGAAACATAAAATTTTATGAGCAAATGTCTTCGAAATACGCCGACGGTCTTTATATGATTTTAAGCAGTTTATATGTAATTTTTACGATCGCATAAAATGCCGTTGAATGCAGCCATTAAAAACGATTTACGCCTTGCTTTCCAACCCCATACAAAAAGGGTTGAATAACCATTTCATCCCTTTCTACTTTCATCTTTCTTTTTTTTTTTGGCAATGGGTGGTGCTCTTGGCAAATGGGATAAAATGTTTATCAAAATAAAATAAGGACGAACGTAACGCAGAGTATGCAAAGTAATTAATTTTTATGAGCTTTTGTTTAAAATTTAATTTCTTTCCGCACAACAAATAAAATTAATTACTGCTCATCGTCGAAGGCAGGCGATATATCTGATTTCCTTTTTTATTTTTTTTTATTATTTTGCTTTCTCTCAGTGTTTGGCCATTGTTATATAAGTGTGCCTGTGTGAGTGTGTGGGTGTATGTAGTAGATGTATGTAGCATGTTTACGATGACAAAGAATTGAACAAAATTCAGAATCGGTAGAAACATGTACAATTTAAACATATAATGACCGAAATCATTCGATATTGGTAAAAAGATCAAATGCAATATCGTTTAACAAGAACTTAAACAAACTTTGTGTGTTTTCGAGAAGGGGTTTGGAGAGGGGAGTGGAAGTATATCGGGGATATAGGTGATCAACGAAAAAATTATAATGAAAAGCTTACCTTCACGCTGAGTGGGTGCAACCGCCGCTAGGGGAGGTGGTAAAGCTTGTGGAAACTGTCCATAGACGGCGGGAAAGGCTGCATTATATATAAATAATTTTGTTTTTGGTTTTTACACAAATTCCGAAACATTTATAAAGACAACACAACAATTAAGAATACGTATAAATAATATATATATATATATATATATGTATATATGTTTTAAGTTTTTTAAAAATAGTTGTCATATTTTAGTAATCAACAGACAATGAAACAAATTTCTAAAGAAACAAACTAAATATCGTTAACCAGTCATCAGTAGATCGACTGGGCTTTAGAATGGGGTTAGAACAATACTCTAATTTAGTTCAAATCAGCAAACTGATTTCGAAAGTTTCTAATAATTTGCATTATAAAAAAAAAGTTAACTAAAATAAATTAAAAGCCAACAATCGAATGCTAGTTTATGTTGAAAATGAACTTTTTGGTTGGTCAAAAAAATCTTCACAATATGCACTTGGCTTTTCTTAGCACAAAAAAAAAAAAAACATAAATAATATCAAGTTTATTTTTAGAAATTAGAGTTATATAACACTTTACTAACAATAAATATTTATGGCATGACACAACAATTATTAATTATTCGATAAAAACAGTTATGAATGATTGGGCCGTTTTTTTCTGTTTTTGGTTGGGCTCATTGGAACAAAAATCCGATGCTATTAATGAAAATGATGATGATGGTGGCGGAGAGATGGTACACAATGCCATGGATGATGGAGATTATGAGCTAAATGTGTGACTGAACGCGATTCAAATGACTTGGCACAAGTTACTCTCTTTTTTGGGTGATTTGATTTTTTTTGGAAATTAAGCAAATTGCAAGAGAATAGAATGTCTTGTCTGGGATCTTAATTTATCTTACATCTAAGTGAAGGAAAACTTAATCTGATCTAGATAGGGGATCTACTTACCAACTCCTGGAAACGGTGGCAGACCAGGGAAGGCATGTTGCAGGGCAGCAGCATCGCCGTTTGGCAAACCTTGTGGCGGTATGGTCAAGTGCAGCGGATCTGCAAGAAGTAGTTCAGTGGCTATAGAGAATATTTAGAAACTCAATGAGAAAAGTTCTTAATAGGCAAAATATATTTTTAGTAATATTTAAGATTATAAATCAAATTATGTAGGTCGAACCGACGCGTCTCTTTTATTTCATTTCACAACCAAAAATGAATCTTAGCTTAACATCGGTTATCGGAATCATATCGATACTTAAGGTGACCGTATAATTAAGCTGCTACAAAAATTAAATTAATTAACCAAATAACTTATTCTTACTAATCAAATTGTTAAATTAGCTTAAAAAAAATTCTAAAATACTCACGTCCTGGGAATGCCGTTTGTGGAATGCCGTTCGTGAAGACGCCGTCCGCAGCAGCCGCCGCAGCAGCAGCTGCAGCTGCACCGCCAGGCTGTCCGTTAGGCGTATTGGCGCCCATGTTGAAATTGGGCATGGTCGGCGAGGGCAGCGACGGTGGCTGTCCAGTGCCATTTAGGCCATGAGGTATCTGCGTTGCCAGAGCCGCCATGGGGTTCATGTAGGCGGCTGCGGATCCGGGTGCCGTGGCAGCGGCGGCCATCAAGGCGGCCTGTTGCTGTTGCTGCAATTCCGGAGGAGAGGGAAGCTGCTTTATATATAGGATGGGTTTTATATGAGAGGTGGGGGTTGGGATGGATGGGAGGGGGTGTTTGGACTTACCTGAGCGTAGGCGCCGTACGGACTGAATTGATTAAAGACAAACGGATTCAGTAGGTTCATGTGACCGGCCATTTGCTGCATGCGCCTTATTTGTCGCTCCTTCTCCGTGTCGGCGTATTTTACGACCAGGCTGGAGGATGCACCCTGCAAAATAAATAAGTGGGGGAGTCGAGTCAAGAGTTGTTGTATCGAGTGCTCTTTCATTGCATATTTATAGGCGGCTTTTCCGCTTTTTCCTTTTCGCCTTGTGCTCCCTCTCTTGGGAACAGGAAATCCTATTACAGGCCATTATTTTGTGATGACAGCGTTGTGTACTTGGTTATAAAGCACCTCTGTGCACCTGTTTCCTTTGTGTTCGACTGCTCATTATTATCTTATTATAATTATATACGAAAAATGAGAAAATATATATCAAAATAATTGGCATACGCGCACTTCAATTTGCATTTCTATTCAAAGCGGCTTATGGGCCACTCCTTCCATCTTTCCGTTTCCTACATTTCCACCGGAGCAGCTGCCTATTGTCGTCTGTCATTGATTTTGATATAAATACAAAGATAACAAAGAGCTCCCGACTAGGCCTCGGCTCTGCCATTTTCTTTGCTTTTGATGTCAATTAATTAGCATAATAATGGCAGGCTTCACATTTCGTACACCCCCCCCAGCCTTTTCTTTTGAGAGGTTTCGACTTACGTATGACAATTTGAATTGAATAGACATTTCCAATATTCGGTAACATTCCGTTTTCGTATTAATTAAGGACGTTTTTGTAATGCGAAACCTTTTTCCCGCTTCTCATCATGATGAGGATGATGATGATGGATGGAGTGGAGTGGGTTGGGTTGGATTGGTGTTCATGGTGATGGAGTTGGAGATGTAGGGAAGCAGAAAAGCTTTTATGATTTTGCAAATCATTAATCAAAGTAACAATGATATTGTGTTGCACAATTCACCCGCCACACCCCCTCCTTGCTTATAAGTATCTGTATATATATATGTAGAGGAGGGCTGTTAATGAGTCTACAAGCGAACAGGTGCTCCAACTATAACGGCTATCTTGGCTCTGCCTTGAACATAATTTTAATTAATGAAATATGAAACTCGAGATTATGCAAAAGGCCAAAAGCAACGTGGAGTTCCAAGGCGAAACTATTCCCTGTTTGCTCGACTATAGCCCGAAGATGGTAACGTAGATCGTGTAATGAGTTTTAATGAGCTGCCTTGAACATAAGACATAAGGCATGGCCAGCGGTTCTCATATCACAAGAAAATTAATTTCAATCTCAGTTATACAAGCAATTTGTAGTCGAAAGCTTAAGGCAGATTAAACACCAATAAGTACGACTAGGAGTAGTTCATCAAAATTTAGTATGAGGTGAGCTGGAATGCTATTTGTTTCAACCTCAATAGCCTGCCTGCCTGCCTGCCTGGCTGCCTGCCCATTGTAGGCGATAAACCTCTATTAACCAAAGCTAATCTGTGGCCCAAATTGTCTCTGCCCTTGCAGAGCTATGCAACAGGCAAAAGGCAACCGCAGAAGCTCATAAATTAATTCATTAACGTCAATTTAATTGTCTAATAATCCCCGGCTCATGTCAGCTGGCTGATGGCCAAAAAGCTTGAGTTCAGAAGGGGAAAGGAAAAAAAAATGAAATAGAAAATTTGTGTGGCTCACTGGGGGAATTATGGGCAAATGCTGAGATTTCCAACCAGTTCCAGGCAGTCGTCATTCAGTCAATTTGAACGTTTATTATGTGCTCTATATATGTGCAGTTGTTTGGCCTGCTCACTTCCGTTTCCGCTTGACGAAGACGACAACGACAACAGCAACGTCTGCGACTGAAACTGCGACGACACGAAATTCCCATTCAAGTGAATTGCTGCCGCCAAATCAAATGAAAAATTCAACACGGCACACAGACACATCCTTGAAAAGGACTCGATCTGGCTATAAAGAGAGAGAGTGAGCCAGAGAGTTGGCAGCACGCCTAACCAAAACGAATAGCAGTCGTGCTTCAGTGGCAAGTGCAACAGGCAGGCAGCAGGCTGCCAACTAACAAGCCAACTAACCAGAGAAGGTCCTTACTGTTTGGGCCATAGTCCTGGACTCGTGCCAGGCGGCACTTTTGGCAGCAATCGCATGTTGCATGCCACTTTTCGGGGCGGCACAAACGTGACGCCATTAGACGATGGGCTCAAAGTCCTTAGCCTTTCCTCGGCCCAATATTTTTTTTATTGTTTTTTAATGCGGCTCACTCATAGTTCTCTCTCACTTCGATTTGTGGCTGGTTGGTTTTTTTTCTGGTTTTTCTGGTTTTTTGGCAAAGTTTCAGGTCCTGCACGATGGCCAATTACAATTGAGAGGCTTACAGTGCATTTAAAAAGTAATTTGTCTACCGCCCCAAAAGCCGTGCACGTATTTATATATATTTCAATGCGAAATGCAAATGCGAATGGAAATTGCCAGCCAAGACTTGCTCTCCCAGGGTGAACCTGTCGGAGAGAGAGGAGTGAGATTGGGTCATGGGCCCGGGGTAATCACAGTAACCCGTGTTCACTAATGGTTCTACAAGCCAAAGGGGCAGGCCGGTAAGCCTGGGGACACGGACAGGGGCGATGAAATGCAGTGCGCCAGGACACATACATATATTCTCTCCTCGTCCCAACCTCTTACATAATAAACTCGCGCCGGGAAGTATGCAACGTTTACCGTATTCAATGGGTGGCGCGTTTGGAGGGATGGGTGGCATGGGGTTGTAGTACGTGTCTGGGGACATGTTAACATGGCAGTCGTGCCAAAAATTATTATTCCCGCCTCGCCACGTTCACTGTGGCAATGCCTTTGGCTCATGGCTTTGGATCTGTGTTGGTGCTGCAGCTACTGCTACTGCTACTGCTGCTTTTTGCTTGTTGCACACTTTTAGGCGCGAGTGTGAGCGCCGATTTGTCAACGCCTAAAAGGACAACATATTTCTTGTCCATATAAAAAAAACGCTGGCAGCAAATGGCCGGCAAATGGTTTTAACAAATGAATTATATATATTTTTATATGCAACTGATTTGCATTTTATAGTTTGCTACGTTTCCAGCATTTTTTACTGTTTACTCGTTTTGGCCGCAGCTTGTTTTAATTGCTAAATGAATTGGCCTGGCCAGGACTGGTTTCAGTTTGTTTTCGGTTTCGGTCCGTTGCTTAATGGTGAGCAATTTTTATCTATCAATTAAAGCAGCGACAGGAAAATGTATTCAAAATGCAAGCACATAAATTCCAGCCTAATGGTAATGGACATTTCTTTTCTTTTTCACAGCACCATCTGTTGATGGTGGGTGGCCATTTTTTATGGCTGCTTTTAGTTAAAAAAAAAATGGAAGGGAAAATGTTTTTAAGCCTTATTGAATGTGTGAAATTGATTCAGAGGGTGATGTGCTAAGCCAGTCAACGGATTGGCTAAAATAGTTGCTGCACTTTGTCCATATGTAATTTTCGGTGAGTGACTTAACAACACTCCGGGGTTGCGGCACGTTCTGCTAGCTAAAACGCCTAATGACGTTTTGCACGGCCAACATAATTACAGTAATAATGTGGCTGAGACTCAACTACCAACCTGGATGTGGTGATAGAGGTGATGGTCGTGGGCACAATGATGATGACATTAGCGAGGCGACAATTTAACGAGCAACACAACGTTGCACACACGTCTCTGTACTCATACGCGAAAAGGAATCCTTGTGTCGTCAGGCTTTTGTTGTATGTGCCACATGCAACACCATATCCATCCATCGGCCAACAAAGCACATTCGTCACGAAATGAGGAAGCACAGCAACAGCAGCCGTGCGTGGTCGTCGACACCCAGCATTTTGTATGCTTTCAAATTAGCCAAAGTGTGAAAGTGTCATGTTTCGAAATATGAAATTAAGCACAGGAACAGGAAGCGGTGCTCGACGCGAAAAAGGACCTTGCTTGTTGCTCATCGTGCATGCTATGATGGTGTTGATATGCCATAATTTGTTGGGCCAAAATTAAAAGGAAGTGCACTTCAATTAACGTTCGTTGTTCTTCTCCTTAACGCTTCTTCGAAGTAGTTGGCTGGGAGAAGGAGTTTTCAGGAAAAGCTTTAAAAACTAAGAAACTCTTTAACCCACTAACAAAAAAGAGAACCTTAGATAGACCCTTCATTTGCATTGGCGGTAAACTCGTCACAATGAGCCAGCCCTGAGAGTTCTCAACGAGTTTTCCAATTAATTTTCACTTAAAAGACAAACCTGAACTGAACCCGAAAAACTCTCAATAGAACAAAGTACCGAGTACAACCGAGTAAAAGTGGCAGTAAAACTAATTACAAATTCGTTTTCAGCTTTCCATTCCGCTGTCAGCGGCAGAATCGAAAGGCGAGTAGAACCTAGAATGAGAGTCATGTCAAAATGGTGGCTCAAAAACGCCGACTGGAAAACCACAGCCACAGAGTAAGTAATCTTTTCCGGCAAATAAATCACACCATTGCCAGTGGGAGTCGCACAGTCGAAATTAGTGTAAATGCCACTAAGCTACCTAAAAGTATGCTCAGCATTAACGGAGTTCGGACAAAAAAAAAAAAAGTATAAAATCCGGAAATTTACGTACTATGCGAAAAGTTACTTCTTTGCCCGCCCTCGAGGCCCCCCGAAAAAGTTGCGACGCGCTGTTAACCGCAACTCTGGACTCGGGACTCGGGAGGATGGCTGAATGGCTGGTTGGATGGGCAAGGCAATGCATACATTAAACAACTTTTGGCTCATTGCATTCTGGCCGGGATCTCCCCTCATTTCCCACCACTTTCCCCCCTTTCCCCTCATCGAAAATGGCGACCCGACAAAGGGCCGCCGGCGAAGCGTAAAATGCGGGCAAGCAAAAAGCAGGACTCTGGGCAGAAGGCAGGACGAAGGACTCAGACGACGATGGCGTTGACAATGCAACTTGGCCGCGGCCAAAATGAAAAACTTATTTAATTTACTTTGCTTTTTGCCACAGCGCCAGCCATTTAATTCAATTACTCGCCGAGAGTTCTTTTCGAGAAGGTCCTGCCGCTCCCTACAGGGCCTAATAAGGCAATCAACGGGGCTGAAATTTGTCAAAGACTTCGCTGAGCAGATCGCCAGAACAAGA